ATCTAACACCGCTATGTTACTTTCTGTTACATCATGGTGACAAAGGCATACTAACTATAAGTTATAGCTATAGGAACTGAGCGTTATGATTTTTTGGTATCCTTTTTTATTCCAAATGCTGCCCCTCTTTGACATCACTTGATTCATACGTATATACGAGTATTGTGACTTGTGACAAATCTAAGTCTGGGTAATATATTAGCTATACAGATTGCACTTAAAAAGTGATTTATGTTCTGATATGATCGATGCTGAAAATCAATACCACACGTCCCGGATCTTTTCTCGCGTATGTGTCTATTTATGTTGCTATATTGAATTCGTTTAAATCAAAGAGCTGCTGCACTATATGTGAATATGTACAGCCCTGTATTCGTTTACTTGTTTAGTACAAACATACATTATCAAAATAATTACGATTTAACAGATTTACACAACAGATTAACATTTTTCCAAGGATTTCCAACATTTCTACATGCGATCAACACCGGTTCGAAAACTGATAAAACAACTATGCCGTAATTCTAAGTTCGACCACGAAAGTCTGAAAAATTAACTTTCAAAAACCCTAACACCTACTGAGCGGCGCCGTGGCAGATGCTTGTTCCGCAAGTTGTTGTCTCCATCATACAACTTCTTCCCGTACTTGTACAATCACTTGATTGTACACGCGTTAAAGAACCTCAGTAGCGATTGCCGGGTGACGGTACAAGTCCGCCAACGGGCCACTTTAGGTCTATTTAATATCACTAATACGCAAAAAGAAGGTGGTAGATTAGGACCAGTCGACCGAGGCGGTACCACCCTATAGCTTTTCCCAGGGTGTCTTATAAGTGTCCACATGTTTCCACACCTAAGCTATGCAGTCGGTTATCTTCCAAAACAAAGAAATTAATGATGATGGACCCCTCGAATACTAAGAATTCCGGATGTAAGCTCACTCCACTCTCAGAATGTCCGGATGGAGGGTGGACTCGAGGGAACAACATCGAAGATAAAATTTGTTACACGAACATCTGCGGGATTAACAGCAACATTGGTGCTATTTATCACTACTTGCAATCCAATCGTCCCGCCATGCTTTTCTTGGCGGAGACAAAAATCTCAGAGTCCGCACCGACTAACCATTTTAGCTTACCAAATTACGAGATGCACTCCAATCTAAGAAATAACGGGGGAGTTGTGGCTTTTGTCCGCAGCAGTCTTTCCTGCTGCAGAGATGTTTCTCTGGAATCAGACCGGAAGGACAATCTGTGGCTTCGCCTCAACTCCAAAACATCCCCCAAATTAATTTGCTCCCTTTATCGCTCCCCTCGAACCATAACTGGGTCATCCCAGTTATGGTTATGAATACCTCGCCGTCAAAATCGACTTTCTGAACATCAATCACTCCGCTTCAGAGGTAGTTATCCTCGGTGATTTCAATGACCATAACAAAAGCAGGGCTCAAACAAGACCGATGCAGCAGGTCGTGCAGTTAAAGCGTTCGCTCTTACTCAAGGGCTAACCCAGCTGGTGACGGGCCCTACTTTTTTTTCCCGCGTCTCGTCACATGCCAGTATCCTGCTGGATCTCTTTCTGACCACGCATCCTGTCCCTTACAGCTCTGCTGTCCTGTCTCCCCTGGGTAACTCAGACCACTAAGTTGTGGATGTTAGGTTTCGGTCAGAACCCGCTGTTTCAGCAGAAACTCGCACAGGCCGCAAAATTTGCCATTACGGACATGCCGACTGGGAGGGGCTCAGAGACTTCTCCTCTACCATTCCTTGGAGAAATGCGTCGGCTGTCTGTTCTTAGATAACGGAAATTCTCCACGTCGGAATGGAGGAATACATGCCTCATACTGCTGATATAATAGAAGTGCTTGATTGTGTCAGTATTTGCACCATCTACTTGATTTGTTTAATGGGCAGTTCAGAGTCTAATCCTTAAGCTTATTACATACTAGTAGACCCGGTGCGCAATTTGCCTATAGGCAGTCTGGAGACGGTCTCAAGACACGATCTCTAGATGATCTACAGACATTCTTCTTTGTCTTGTCTAGCATCCATACGATAATGTGAATTTTTTGGTCTCATGCTCGTTTTCGCCATCAAATACATTGTTTGGGTGGAATCAACTGGCATATGTCTCGGAGTCCCTCAGATTTTTTTATTTTTTGTCGGTTAACAGAGCAATGAAGTTTTTTATATTTGAATCTTTAATATTATTACACTAGTTAATTATAAATGCCACGTACTTATTTAGTTCTCATATAATAAAATATTGGATTTCTGAGCAATTTCCAAGTTTTTTTTTCTCAAGCTGGTCTTGACCAGATAGAGCACAATGGATTTAAGGAGCAATAACAGGATAAAATCTAGAATTTCCACTGAAGATAAAAAATGACCAGCCCCAAATATCGTTTGCGCCCCCCCCCCTAGACGAAATCCTGAATCCGCCCTTGACCTCTGCATTATACTTTTGAGTGGCCTAGAGACATACTTAGATATTGAAATGTGCCTTGAATGATATTCATGTTCAGTTTTCTTGTGTTCACTTCGGTTCTTATGATAATATATATTGATTTAAAAAAAAATTGTGAAGAGTATCATAATTATATGATTAACTATAGTTTTGAGTACATATCTTTGAATTATCTCAAGACTATGAATATGTGTGTGGTGAACAGCACCTCATGCTAATATTCCATATGTCAAATGGCTTCCAATTAAAGCATGATATATAATTCTCAAATAGTGCTCCGGAAGAATATTTGAAAGGTATTTTAATTTATAAGTAACAAATCTTATTTTATTCACTAAATAATGTTAATGGATATTCCACTTTATTAAATTTTAGTCTACATACAGCGTGATTCAGAAGTCGATACTAAAAATTAAGCATCATACACAAGAGCGCATTTTAAAGGGGGACCTTAAAATAACATTTTTTTCCTCGAGGGCTTCATTGACAAGATGACGGGGTGTGGTGTTGAAGTTTAAAAAAACATTTTTTTTAACATCTTCGAAACCGTCAACTGGAATGAACTAAAATTTGGTATGTGGATTTACCTAAGTATTGTCTGGTTGATTTTATCCTTCAACTTCGATAGCCTTAGATTAATGTTCAAACTTACTTATTACTTCCTTCCGAATACCTCAAGATTTACATTACATTACTTGAGGAATGGAGAATTCAGGAAAATTGCAAAAACAGTATCGCTTACTAATGACAACATCATACACATGTTTCAAATGTTATCAAGATTTAATCAATAACCCACATAATGAACTAACAATATAACAAATAAAATCTAATTTGTGGGTGTACAAATATCGATTTTGGTTTTATCTAAAACAGACCACTTTCCATGAATGTTGCGTTACACAATGTTCGACATTACCGAACACAGGATGTATTAACGATATTATGCTCATATAAAAATTGTATTATTTGTTTGTGGGTATCAAATTATAACTATCGGTATACAAATATGAACGATGACCTACTATGATGGAAATAACTCAGTTTTAAATGGTTATCCAGTGTAATTTGAAAATAATGTAAATTGGGGCATCCATATAATATTATTTTTGGAGATCAATAAATCTACGTCCTATTTAATAAATTAGATTAATATTAAGATTTGTCTAGCATGCACTCCTTGGAGCTCATGGCTATTTTTATCTTACTATATGAAGCGTTGCTAAGGTCAATTGTTCAGCGAACGTTTCAATCGTTTCTACCCGTAATTTTTACTAACTTTATATTGCAACCCTGCTCTCTTAAAGCCTACAATATTGCAACTCAAACAAACCTTCCACCATTATGATAGTAATAGAATGTTTCGGTGGAAAACTATTGAAAAATAGAAAAATACTAAAATGACCCTATTATAAAAAGAATGAAAGATGTAACAATTTGTTTTTATTTCAGGTTATTAGTAGGTGCCCCGCTAGGCCAAAACCTTCAGCCTGGATCAAATCACTCTGGAGCTCTTTTCAAGTGCCCAATTTCGACCTATGACGATGACTGCATCCAAGTGGAAACGGACGGCAGACGAGGTACCTTTTCCAGAAAGAAAATGTTTGATAAAAAAGGTCGATTTCACAAGGGTTGTCGGTTTGGTGATCAAAAGCTCTCGAATTTTTCGAAAATCGTTGTCACCTACCTAACTTCTTATTAAAATTGTGTCATTTTGATCTAGAACTTACTCCAAATTTCATAAACCTAGGAATTTCTTATATTTGGTTACTATTGGGAAACTGCACGGCTTAGCCAGTAGAAATGATTCTATGAATTTTATGGTATAACTTTATCGGATGTTCAGCAAAGAGAAACTTCTCCGCAGCTGAGCTGAGCATTCCGTCAAAGTTGGAAAACATAAGAAGACCCTACGAAACTGGACAAATCATACTTAATATATGTATATGTGATGTAATAGTTAGAAAATGCTCTTTTCTATTGTAAGAGACTTCCAACAGTACACGATTTAATAGCGTTATAGAATAAGCTTCTCTTGTTGGTCAAAAGGTTATCCATACCAATCATCTTTGTGAAATCGTCCCCACACACTATAGATTATAAATACAGTTCACTCATAGGTCTCAGTTTGAGTATATCCTAGGTATCTAGATTTGAGTGTTGTACAAACACTAATAGTTTAGATTAGTTATCACTTTGTATTTGTCTTTTGTTTTGTCTGCATTTTTAGTAACGGTGGTACTGCGAAATTGTATATTTGTCTATAATCGTTACGAGCATTTGTTTTATAGAATACGTTGAGACTAAAATAACATTACGCCAGCCTTGCATACATTCGATGAAAATATCCCAATTTATTTTTGTCAATGCAATGGAATAATTATTTTATTATTTTTACTTTCTCTCTATTCAATTCACTAGTACTACATATTTTTATGAATACGCTTTTTTCTCTAAAACTCAAATTTAAATGATAATTCCATTTTGTCAATAAACATCGACAACTATCTTTGAATGTATAATACCTGAGTTGAATTTGTTCCGGTTTAATATCCCATGGGGTTTCTTCAATTTCATTGATTGAAAAATAGGATTGGCCAAGGATAAAGCATGAATAAGTAAAAACGGAAGTTTATCTGTGATATAGTGTAACACTAAAGAAGAATTAATTACACCTGATGTTTGAATATCTCTCAAACAACCAAGGCATAAGATATCACCTAAAATGAAAATTTCATTCCTCAAACACTGCGTTTATCGAAGTGGATTTCTTTTATGTCACACTATCCTGAATAGTAGTTACATGTTGCTTTGTCGGCGTCCAATGGGGCAGGCTTAGCTTTAAACATCCAGGGACTATTTTTTAAGGCAGTACCACCACACGTTTTTTCTGAATGTATTTTTCCAACTGGTGAAATTTTTGGATTGAAGTTAGGGTTGAGTTTTATAGTAGTTATTTATCCAGAAATTAGTTGCACATTTAAGGCTGCTCACCATGATGTGAGAAATAAAATGGATCAACCAGTTGATTCAAAATAACATGAGTTAATAACACCAAATGATTCTAGAAGTTGGTATGATAAGCGAATAGCATCAATCAAGTATCTGTATCAATTGAATACTGCCAAATTGATAGAAACACGGCATGATACTCCAAAGGTCCATAGGACTTTTGCAACGACGAACTCTGAGGTTACCGTTTGAAATAAAAAGGAGGTCCATAGAGGAAAAATGGATGATAGTTGTTCTGAATGCAATGAAGCAAGTACTTGAAAATTATTATTATTGCGATTTACGCTTAAGGAAACTATTAAGGTCTCTGTTATTTGCTGCAGAATGATCAAGCACATTATCAAGCAAATATGATCCTGAAATTTGGAAAGGAAACAAACAGTTTATTGAGGATATGAAACCTACTTTACACAACTTGTAGGAAATAGAAAACCCTCAGAAACGATTTATCTACATTTTCTCCATCATGATGAAAAGCAGTGTAACTAATTTCTATAGATTCTACAAAAACTAAGTATTTTTGCGTCCGGATATATGTTTTTACTCCGGGCCTTAGTAATGTATGTTTTTGTTTTTCTCGGATGGTTTATCTGCCAGACGCCAGAGGGAGGTATTTATGTAAGTGATGGTCTCTCGAACCCCTCGAGGTATCAGTTCTGATCCATGATACCTTGAATCTCGGTAAAAGCATGTTGGTAGTATAACTTTGCTGCTTGAATCACCTTTTACATTTTTTAGTTCGTAGTGCATGGTATCAAGTAGAGTGGGTGACAGCTTTTGAAAGGAAACACCAGAAACTCCACATCCTGAATTGAAATTAAAAAAAAAACTGAAAACAATAGTACAAACTTGAGTATAGTTCTTTGCCTCGTGTGTGAACTTTGTTTCTGTTGTGGCACGGAATTATTTCTGAACATTTCTATAAACCGAAGTCGCTAGAAAATATCTGAATAACAGTGGATCAATGTTCTGGTGTTTTCTTCATGAACAGCTCGAGTCTTAGTAGCTTTAGTTGCACTATGCTTTTGCTTGAGTAGTTTTAGTAAGATCAAAATAATAAGGTTATAATTTAAGTCATCAAAATATCCTTTTCAGATATTTCAAATGGTATAACAGGGTTTTGGATGGGTTGTTGGGTATTTTAACTAATAACTCGATAATATCGATATAAAAAATTATACATCTTTTATAAAAAAAATAATGACTTATGACTAGTGTCGTCATTTAAGTCACTGTTGTATTTCAGTGTAAAAAAATACAATATGTTGCTAACTGGGACAATCAATGGCCGTTTTACAAGAATATCGTTGTAATTTGATTAGCTATAATAAAGTGAAGCTACCTTTTTCTACGTGTTTTTCATATAATTGCATTGAACAATGTCAATTACTTGTAAAATCTAGAGAAAATATTGTATCACTTCGTGCAAAAACCCAACAAATACGAAACCAGAACATTCATACTAGCAGTCGTTGCAGACCAATGATGTTGATTATTTTTAAGGACAAAATATATACGTATACAATTATATATACTGTGTACCATATACCCAAAAATTTACAATAAAAATATCGTTCTCCTTTAATATTGGTTGCATTATTTCTTTATGGTACTAGAAGATAATAAGCTTGCTTTTATTTCTGGAAAAAATGTCCCCTCGTGCGCTATAATATAGCTTTATAATCGGTGGTATCAAAAATAGCATGGCAGACCTCAAAGTCTGCATGGCGAGGGTATAACTTTGGAGCCATAATTGACATCAATAGTTATTTATTTATTAACATCATAACAACTCATTATTACTTATTACTTTTAATTATACTTTACTAATTGATTTGGAGACTTACCACCCAATCAGCCCATTCAAAAAATAAATGATCTACATGATTTATTGGTTTCCAGAATGACACAGTTATAGCGCAGTGATATTAGATATTAAGATATATACCTGATCTATCCTGATTATATAATTTGATTCATAATCACTCAATAACAAACTGAGACAATGTTTTGACTCACGAGGTTTCTTAAGAAATTAAATTACCTATTTTTTAAATTTAAATATTCCGTATCTTTACACTTTTGATACCAAAATTTGACAGTTTCACGAAATAACGTACCAATCCAGACCGTCGTTTAACCATACATTTTCAAAGCTTAACATACCTTGTACATACTACGAAAGCCAAAATCTAACATCACTGGGTTATATCTAATGATGAGATCTACAGCGTTTCAAATTAGCTATGAAATTGAATACAGAGTCCCAGATGATAGATAAAGTATGATGAATCGAGATGTTACACCGCGATCTGAGCAAATATTGACGTTTTGATACGTGAGAAAGTGTAGATTTATTTATGTTTGATTAAAACGATGAGTGCTAAGAAGTGAACACTTCGAAGATAATGTACAGAGTCGATAACTTCTTTTATGGTAATCAAGCATGACGTCAATCCTATCCTAGATTGGTAGATGAATGTAAAGCCTTATTATAAATTTAAGAAAACAGTAATGTTTTTATTTCTGGGTCCTTAGAAAGCAATATTGACATTTACTGAGTAAATTCTAATACCTACCTAGCAACACAGTTGCGATATTCTACCCAATCTCAAAATGTTTCTCACAATTTAGTGAAACTTGATTGATGATATTTTTGAATATATTCTCAATATATGTTAATACGGAAAATATAAAAGGTAGTATAAACAACATAGAATAACAATAACACAGGTTCACAAAATAAAAAAATAGTATGTGTTTTTATATATTCCAACTACCACGAGATCCGCCGGGTGGTACCTCTGCGTTCGACAGTCTACCACCTACGGACAATCACAACATCCATAGCCAAGAGAAACATTTCTCTTGGGATCGGATTCGAACCCGCACAGCTCACAGCGACTGATCAGGAGACCGAAGAGTCTACTACTCCGGCCACCGCTGCTGCCTAAGGGGTCCCACCTGCTTTTCCTTGCTGAACACGACTCACACAAAATTGGCAGTTGGTGGATAAATATGACAGTAATTACTAGATACTAATTTTTGGTGGGTGTGCCTCTCTCTTCAGGTCTCTCATTTTTTATTCTGATGACTAAATGACTTTCATATTTGTCCATCCTCCCTCAATTTTGACTCCAGATTCGTGCTCAGATGAAAAAATGGACCGAAAAAAATCTAGAGAGTAGGAGTTTCACACACCACTCTAAAAAAGCCAATTCGAAACCCATGAACTTTAATCGTACAAACATTTAACAAATGTACCGACTTTGTTTTGATTTCGACGTTTTTGTAATACTAATATCTCATTATGGTACCCGATTGGTCAAAATCATTAGACTTAATATATCTTCACTGATCTCTTACCAATTTCAGCTAGCAAAACAATTAATGAAATTGCGTGAATCAGTTATAATAAGTTGTAATATACAGAGACTAATAGTCACGCTAGGATAACTAACAAGCTAAACAGGATAATAAATTGATATCAATTTCTGTTTTATTGCTTTGGGTGTAATCTTGCAGGTAACAGCGAAGACTGCTCATGGACATTGTATATCCTCATGCATAAATACAGTGTCGTACCTTGTCGTAGTTGAGGTTAAATAGACGTAGGTCATTCACAACAAATACTTATGTTTGTGTAATATTGCGTCTACGTCTAAGTTTTCAAGTAATAACAAAATATTTTTTCCATACCCCTGATAAACTGTATCGAATAATATATACTAAGTGACATATAAATCCGAACACCCAGTTTAAATGGTTTTATTTTAATAAAATTTTGTATAAGTACTTAATGAAGCATAATAAGTAAATGATAAAAATTTCAAAATGATTGCACTGCTTTAAAGCCCTTTGACCTTTAATACTGTGTGGATGCACCCTGATGTGCTACGCATTCTCCAACGCGCCTAGGCATGCTTCTGATCAGGTGGTCAATGTCCTCCTGTGGTATCTCATTCCAGGCAACCACCAACTCCTCTCGAAGTGCTTCTAGAGTCTGAGCAGGACGTTGCAAATTGAGCAATCTCCTACCCATCATATCCCACACGTGCTCAATTGGGGATAAGTCGGGAGATCTTGGTGGCCATGGTAACAGTGTGACATCATTATGTTGAAAGAAGTCTATTGTGACTCTTGCAACATGTGGTCGGGCATTATCTTGTTGGAAAGTTGGATCTGCCAGGGTGTCAAGATAGGGTAAAAGATGGGGTTCTAGAACTTCGTGGATATAACGCTGCGCGTTCATGTTACCTCTGATGAAGATTAAAGGTGACCTGGAACCATAAGCTATAGCACCCCAAACCATAACTCCAACAGTGTGATGAACATGTCTTTCAACAAAAAACTGTGGATTCCTCCTTTCACCACGTCGCCTTCTAACCCTGGCACGACCATCGTGCATGCCTAAACAAAATCGAGACTCGTCACTAAAGACAATACTGTTCCATTCCTGATCCCAGAGTGACCGTTGTCTGCACCACTCAAGGCGATTACGTCGGTGTTCTCGAGTTAAAGGGAGGACCCAGTGTGGCCGGTATGAAAACAAGCCAAAACTTCTCATTCGTCGGTAAACACTTCGCATGCCAATAGGTCTTCCGTGTTCTGCAAACCATTCATTTGCAATGGACCTGGTAGTGGAGAAACGGTCCCTTAAGGCCAATAATCTTAGGCGGCGATCTTCACGGTCTGTTGTTCTACGGCGGCGTCCAGTGCCCCTTGCTCTTTGCGTACGGCCTTCTCGAAGCCATGCCTGACAACACCTAACCACAGTGTCTACACTTCTTTGCACTCTAACTGCAATTGCCCGAAAAGAAAGTCCAGCTTCCCGAAGTCCCACTATACGGCCACTATCAAACTCACTAAGTTGACGAAATCGTACAGGTCTCCGTACTCTAGGCATCGTAACCGATCGTAAAGGGTGTCAAGAACCAAAATCCGCCAACGTTGATTCATTACTGCGGCTGAAATATTCATTTTTAGAGCGTTAGTGAATTAAAAAAAAGCAGTATAAAAACCGGAATGTCCAACTGATAAGGCTGAAAATTTGTTCACTTGTTATTTACAGTAAGATAAATACATTCACTAACTTTTATTAAAATAAAACCATTTAAACTGGGTGTTCGAATTTAAATGTCACTTAGTATAGTTATCAGTGCCATTCATTTTGTACGTGATAGAAATCTATATCCTTCATTTCGTAAGAAACTTCTTCTTTAGGAGCGAAACATTGATCCAGCGCATGTTGGATATTGTCTTAATTTTTGAATTTTCTACCCTAAAAAAAATCTTGTGATAGAATCTCTCGTCGTAGCTCTAGAATTTTTTGACGAGTCTTCAACGCAGTATGTCTTGTGGCATTATCATGCAGTATCATATTATTTTTATACTCAATATATCCGCCCTTGTTTCTTGGAGTGATAACTTAAGATTTATCTAATTGCAGAAATGCATCTCTGAATTTAGCTTTTCATTCGTTATCCACTTTCATCCCTTGTTCTTAGCCGATCCAATAAAAGTTCGATTCTGCTCCCTGCAAGTAAAAATATTTATAAGATTCTGTCATTCAAGTTCCTCTCACCTATCTCATTTGGCACCCATCTAGAATATTCCCACGCTGCAAACTTCCATCCTATGGCCTCCCAGAGAAGCTTTGCAGATGGATGGCTGACATTCTCTCTGACCACAAGATATCCATCGTAATTGACGAGTTCCCCTTTTCATCGCACAACGTCAACGCGGGTGCTCCCCAGGGATCGGTCTTGGCCCCGTCACTGTTCCTCTTACACATCAATGACCTCTTTCCTGTACGATCATGTCAATCCACATCTTTGCTGATGACAGCACAAAGTGTCTTTGGGATCCTCATAGCAGCCGCAGTCTCCTGGCTGCTATGAGGATGCGGTGTAAAAAATAATATTAAATTATTTTTATACCGAACATTGCTGCCCTTTTTTCTTGGTATTAGCCAATCCCAGAAAAGTTCGATTCTCATCCGTGAAAGCACTTCATCGAATTCCATTATCGGTAGGGAATATTTATGAATCCATTTCTAAGTAGACTTACTCAAAATTCAAAGCTACTCGTCATCTTAATGTGTTCATTTTACTTTAACTTGAAGTAGAACTGTGGAGATTAAGGAAAATCTTTAGATACTTCTTACAGCTATTACAATAACGCTTGGGATCGCCGTTACATCTTTCCTGCTAGAAAATACATCCAACATAGACTCGGAGGTCGTGGTTTTGACCTTAAGCACTGAAGAGTAGATCTCATCAGTAACAGCGATTAATGTGCAGTAGTTTATTCATTTCTCTCAAGCTTTGTCTACAAGGAGGTCCAATAACAACATTAATATAATAACAATTAACAAATTAAATTATACCTTATTTGAGACCACGCATACCTTCTCTAAGTATATACAGGATGGTGAAAACAGTTTTCATGTTTTGCCTTTTCTTTAAAAGAGCGCATAATTTATTTTTGATTTATGTTGTGCAAATGCTTCCTTTTTTACTGGCTGACTATTCCTGTATATGCCCTCGATCGAATAATTTGAGTTCCGTACTATGAGTTTGACATAGGCGTTTTTGTGTTGCATTTTGTATTTCTTTCGTTTCAAGCTTTGACATTTTTCTGTGCGTCAGGTATGATAGAGAGTGCATTTTGATAGGATTTCCTTTTATTTCCTAAAATTCTACAGATTTGGCATTTATGTATATATCTCGCAGTTTGCAGTGCACATCAAAAATATGCATACATGGGAATTTTTGAAGAGATATCTACATAATTTAATATTCTAAGCATATGTAATATACAGGGTGATTCAGAAAAACATGGGCATAAAGCAGATCGAAAAATAATACAAAAAGTTCATATAAATGCGACCTAGTCGAAATACTGTTATAATTTTGAAATTTAAAAGATTATATCTTGACACTTGATTAAGATATCATCATAGTCAATACAAAATGTTTGTCCGTGAGACTATGCCAGTGGCGTATAAATTGAGAAACTTTGTTTATATGCTTTTTGTTATTTTTAGATATACTGTATCCCCCAGAAATATTGCCTTTTTTATCACCTCTTGCAGTGACTACTACTCAATTGTTGATAACTCTTGTAATTACTACACATTTTAGGCAATTATTATAGCATTTCGTCTTTTTATCATTTTTCTAATTGCCTATATGTACGTATAAGTATAGGAAGAACCGGAATAGATACGTTAAAAAGCAATTCTAGATTTAACTCCTGAAAATTGAGATGTTGGCTCAAAAGTAATGTCGTTCATTAATCAGATACAGACATGAAATTGAGGGTCGGATATTTCCCAGGATTCAGAATGGGGAATACGATTACATTCTATTTTCCATTATAGTTTGGCATAGGACTCTAGTTATAGTCTATAATCAGACAAATTCAGCTCAATATATTATTTTCACTAGTTTAATCTTGGATCACCGTATTCATTACGAACCACCCTGTATACCATAGGTTTTAACTCTTAGTCATCAACTTCTTGAAAAGATGAGAAGCAACGCATATAGCCATTAGGAGTAAACTTATGTTTTACCAAACGGCACAAGCATTTTAGCATCTCAGGCTCAATTTTCCATTCACTGAAGAGCAAATCATTCTTCAAAAATTCCTTTGCAAAGCGTAGTGTTTAAGAGACAATTTTTTGCATATTACCATATTACTAACGAACGTTTTTAGTCGATTGCTGTTTATTTCCAATTAGGCACAGCGGTATACCAGTACCCGGTGTCCTTGTATCTTGATTCCAAGACTACACTTTTAATTCCGAGAATCGAGATGAGTAATGGCGTTTTGCTAAAAAAAAGTCAATTACGAGTACGAAACGAGTCCTCTACCTGTTCCATGGGCGTTCTAAAAGATGCTGAACTGAGAACCAGGCACAAAGGGTTTATAAAATTTACTAATTTACTCGTATAACCACGGCCCTGTTGCACAAACACTACAAGTTGTACAATTGTAAAAATTTGCTCTACACTTGTAACTATTTTGTAACTCGTGCGGTATCATTACCGAAATGAGAGAACTTGTAAGTACTGCAAATTACTTGTAACTTGTAGACTTTCAACACTTGTAGTTCTTGTGTTGTGGGCTGCAGGTTTCAAGTTCTTTGTCAGTCATCCATCAAAAATATTGAATAAATCAGATAATAGTCAAAAATATATACTGGTTCAGAGTACGTAAACACTACTTTTAAGGCACAACGGTTTTGAATATTCGACGAGTGCTGAAGATTGACATACTTGAAGTTTTTAGTCTTCTGGTTTTGCATATTACTTGATACCCTCACGAGATTTTCAAATTCAGTACGTAGCAGAAGAAAATCAAGGACTCGTGAATAACGATATAGTTTTGAGACCACTCTGAGATCAATATTTTATGGTCTTTCACGATTGAAGGCTTCCTTTCTTCGTAGTTCTTTGATTTTGTGGATTAAATTCCAAAGTTTTCTTGTAGTATTTCCTAGCTATTAAAGGTTAAAAGCAATTGTCCGATTTTTTAAAACATATCAGTAAATTGATTTTGAGCATACTCAGGATATGTTTAAAATATTTCACAAATTGGTAGTGGTCATGGTACCTCTTTTATTTGCTCTATCTGAAACCTTTTCCCAAAGTTTTAAATATCCGAATAACTCCACATATTACACTCATGCACGTTGGATTCGTTCTTTTTATCCTGAAGATTGTGACTTGTTTTTGACATGTTTTGTTCGTAAACACTGCTTAAAGTTGTCATTAGATTAAAAATTGCCAGCTTGATCAACTTCTTCCAAAATTCGCAACATTTGGGGTTGTCTAGGTATTCTACTGTGTCCACCATGGAGGCTTTCGCAGGATGTAAACAAACCTACGTAGCTCCAGATGGAAACATTCAGGACAACGATCTAAGTAGACTCGCGAACTAACTATGATCAAATCTATAGCTACGCTATTGCCGTGGGAATGTGTCATTTTCGGGTTTTCACATTCAATTTTAAAATAGGTTAACTTCCGCACATCGTATCTTTTCACTTTTCACGTTGAATGCTGGGCCAGGGTGGGTAATTTAGATTTTTTGGAACCTAAAAAAAGTTTGTGTATACTATATTATACGTTATGCAAATAAAACTTTAAGTCATGCGAAGTTTTACCTCGCAATCTCTAGTAGGAAAACGTTCTGGCGTCACGTTGGTCAACGGAAAATCGTGCGACGCCTTAGTTCCATAGCACTTAAAAAATGTTAACCCACTATATTTTAGAGTTATTATGAAATCGACGCCCATGATTTTTACGATTTTTTCAGAAGTTAATAACATGCTCGAGTGCATCAGCCTTGTCCAAGGAAATACAGTATCATAATAAACAGCAATCCGGCTTTGATTCTACTAAAAACTTGGTAAACTGTTAACGCCTATCAGGTTTTTGTTGAGCGAAATAATTGCTAGTGATAGTCTTGAAACCGTCATACTCGTATTTGTCCAATTATATTGAGAAATTTCTCGCATCACTTCGGCTTTCATTGTTAACAGATTGCCAAGTAAAAATTTACAATGCAGAAGTAATTTTGGTGGTTCGTATTCGGTCACAAGATGCAGAACATATGAAAAAATGAGATGATATATATTTCTACTCAATCTTCTGATCGGTAATTATCAAGATTAGTAATTCTCAAGATTTGTTGATATTTGGGTACCTTTAGATAAATATGATAATACCATTTTCTCTTATTTCAAATGTTCTTTGGTATCCTCGAAATTTCTCCTATAGACATCCACAGTGTTCGCCACTCATTGGCGTGAAGTTTCTATACAAAGCTTATCTTTATACAATATTAGTTATTTTAGTAATTGCGTTTTCTGTTATTATAGAAACGTTTAACATGACCTGTGCTTATAAGATCCATTTTCAGTTCCTTTTTAGTACATCGTATACGATATATATCGTGATTTTATATACCGTCCCGTACGTTTATCAGCACCGTCGATAGAAAAGGCATTCTAATGTATATCCAAATCTACCAAAATTACTTTGAGTATTTAAGCAATATCTTTGTTTATTTGCTGACCAAGTCCACATTTTCAACAGTCGGTGATTTTGACTATGGAGAGGACACAGGGGATGAAGAAAACGCACTGGACCCACCTGGAAACGATGAGATTAAAACTGGACAATGGTTGGGTGTCTCTGTCAAGTCTCAGAAACCTGGGGGAGTTGCTATGGTTTGCGCTCATAGGTAAATCAAAATATTCATACAAAGCCTACATGATCCCATATTTTTTAAATTTTCATGCTATCTTGAGATCATATGTTTCTAGAAAAATGACGTTTTTATTAAGTTGACATCACTAAGTTACAGTTACGTATAATTTGAAAAACACCGTGATATTATGTATATTCAGAAAACGTGACTGTATTCCTCATTTTTCCCAGGTATATACAAAGTCAAGACTTGAGCAAGATGCATTATGGGCAAGGTCTCTGTTATCTGCTCAACAATGCTTTAGAAACAACTGAGGTGCTACAATTTTGCAAAGGAAGGCCGATGGATAAGTAAGTACATATACCTACCTATTTTATAAAATCGTACTTAATCGACATATTTTTGCGATTGATACAGAACAAACTAATTTTTAGTTTTTCCATTTCATAGGACCTCAAAAAGTGAACTAAACTTCCCCTTATCCCTGATATTTCCTTAATGTGCTTCTAGACGGGCAATATTTTAATGGCATCATCTAGCGGCAACAGTGTAGCCATGTGGCAATATTGCTAGTATGGCCCGGCTATCTAAGCTAGACATGTTTGACATTTGTTATATATTTGCGTATACTGCTGTCAGATTGCCGAACAATGGGAGTCCTACCTAATTTGGTAGCCCATCTCATATAGCCTAGCTATTAGCTGCAATATGTTCATGATGGCTGGGCTAAAATTGCCATAGTTATTGACAAATATTGCAACGAAAATATTGCTCGTTTAGATGTTCTATAAAATAATACTGAATATATATTCACCGATTATTGCCGAAGTGTGCCATAATAGGGCCAATAGTACTGAAGGAGTACGTCAAAATTACGAATTGTCAAGTGACCGAAGCTAAAATTATTGATAAACACATTCCAAACTAAACATGATACTTTGGTTCGTCCTGCCAAAAGGCAGCGAAACATGAAGAACTGTTTCGTGCTTTTTGGTTACTAATTGGTGTGGTCTCTCGTCTCGGACAACAAACGAAAGCATCGCAAGTATCCTCTATCCAGGAGGTTCGCTCTATCGGAATAAGGCAGCTTCAAGAAGTTGACTTTCTTCTATTCTGCTATAGTTCTCCGTTCTCCCTTCATCTTAAACAACTGTGTAGGATTCCTTATAATTTCTCCTTAAATATGGATAAGCTAGTTTTATGAGTCTGCATCTCTGAGCAACAAGATAAACAGTCTTTTATGGTAATTAATCTAGGATTGTATATCAGATGAAAGGTTCATACTCCCACATGCACGTTCTTGAGATGCAATTTAATTAATGCTTCCTCGTAGTCGTGTACATTGTAGGATGATGAAGTTGCTCTTATCTTTATTATTATTTGAGAGAAAGCTCTGAAGGTCAAGTGTGTACATGTTATGGTTTCTCTGAAAAGTATTTCTGAATTTGATGGTTCAGAGAATAACGGTCGCTATAGATTCGTTCTGATTACGCTGTCTTCATATGAGAAGTGAGAAACAGGAAAGGGGCCGTTCAAGTATTACTTAAGCAAGTTTTTTAGAATTACCCAGCCCCTTCCATGTTTATGTAAATATGTTGTTATATTTTATAATTTGAAGCAAGTATTTGCTTTCACGCACATGTTCTAAATACCATTTAATGTCCTGAAAGTCAGGGAGATCTGGCTCTTCCTTTACTTTGTAGTAACATGATAACCATCACTTTGCAGTGAATTCCAGACCTCTGGTAAACTCGAAATTGGATGTTTCTAAATGTTCATCAATTGTAACGCCACGTTCATCCAAATGAAATTCAAAATGGTCATGAGACAGTATCAAACCAACCAGTTCCCGACTAAGAGGAGCCATTCTGGGCTCTACTCTATAATACGTATTTATACCAGGAGCATTCATAGCCAAGGTTCTAAGCGAGTAAGCATAACCATATTTTGGTAATCTCTGAAAATCCATTTCGCTATCCAGCATAGACAAGCAGGGTTGCCATTCTTCTAATCAAAATAGACTTAATTGTAGAACATCCGAAAAACTAAAAAAATGAATTTTGCTCATGTGCTAGACCCCCTCTCCCATGACATCAAAAATAACCAAAGCGGAAACCCCCGCCCCCTTTCGTGCTGACATAATACTTAAATGGCCTCAAAAGCGTAGAAAAGTAAGCCCCGATTTTGAAAGATTTCGGTAGTTCGTCACGCAGATATCATATTTTGTATCTTTAGGCTGGTGATACCTAGTCATAATCCATAAATTAGCTTTGAAAAGCAGTACAAGAAGTAAACATATACCATTATACAATATACAGGCTGAAGTGAGTCACGTGTAATTTTTGCTAATAAATTATTTGTTCTTGAACATTATCCTCAAAATTTTCGAGATATTTGGAAAATCATCAAAGGAAAAAATAGCTTATCGTCGTTGTTTTGATGAAACCTATGTAACAATTTTTCCACAGCGGATTTTTCTGGATATAAAAATACGAGCTCCGTGATCTAATGTACAAGCGTTTCATAATAGGAAACTTAATTCTGTACAGATTTACTAAAAATCGGTGTGAATGGAAGCAAAAAAAAATTTTTAAAGATAAAATAGTTTTGATGTCATTCTGTAAAAACTGCTTCTAAACACATAACATAACGTCAAAACAACGACGTTATGTTATGCTCGAGTTCAAGATCGATTAAATTTCATTTTGTCGAATATGGTGAATGTGCATTGCAAACGGCGATGCCTTAGCTTTGATTAGGAGTACGCGCTTTGATGTTTATACGAAATAGAATAGTCAGAGATTTTCTGACAATTGACGCTATTTAGGAAGTTGTTTTCCGCGATTTCGTACGCGATAAATTTAACATATATAACATTGTTTCTGAGTATTGTTATAATTGCATTGCATTAGTAAATTGACAGTCAACGGGCATGCTTGAAAAACTTGATTTTATCAATGGAGCCATCAACGAGCTGCTGGGGTAAAACTGCAGGCGGGTAAAATAGTATAAATATTAAAATAAAGTAATATTATTACCGATTTTTTGAAATTAGCATTTCAAAATAAACTAAATTTGACATTATAAAAGCTTCCTCTTCGAAAAATTTTCGGTTATGCAATTCATTCTTTGTTTGAAAGTCTACTCTAAACAGAACCTCCTCGTTGCCAGTTTTTAGACATTACGAGTAGAAAACCCCCACGCCATTTCAGACAAACTTGCAAGTGCCCTTCAAACCCTTAACTCCGTCCTGTCGCAAAATCCATTCTTAGCTGAAATGTCCTGTATTAACTCATGCTTGAAAGTCAAATAGTTTCTGACATTTCGTGATTAATGCGTTTCTTTTCGCTTTTACTTGTGTCAGCCCTGCTCCCCTTATTCCGGCCCAATTTTAAAACCTGTTTTAGCTAATATGTTTTGTGCATGAATGTTCATAGGTTAAATAGTTTTTGAGATTTCACGACTCATGTGCGAGTTTTTTTTTCGCATTTTTACACACTACCCCCCTTGATTCAGCCCCGGGGGAAAATTCGTTCTCAGTTGGCACGTCCATAAACTATCTCTCTGCCAAATTTCATATTCATTTGTGTTCGAGATAAATTTCTATGAATTTTAAAAATGATAAGGTCTCTCATATAAATATTCAGCCTCTTCCTACCCTATCCTGAGGATATAATTTCTAAAACTCTTTGTTAATAATAATTATTTTAAAGATAAAATTAAAGACAAAAGATACTCCTACTTTGAGGCTGGATTAATTTGAAATATTCTGAATTCTCTACAATAATTTACAAAATTTGCCCTTTTACATTGTATCAAAGACCGAGCATATGGAACACGCATTTGTTAACCTAGCTTGAAAAGTATAGTTTCTCCATAGTAGCTTTTACACTTTATCTCGACCTCTTCAAGTCTAATTTTGACAGCCAAAGGTAGCCTATGTCCGTTTCCAAGGTCTAATTTGTATATGCAGGGTGTTTCAGAAAGTCATGAATATATTTCTAGGGTACAAATCACATCCAAAAATAACAAAAACGGCGTTAAGATTCCGGGTTAAGATTTTAGACGCTTAGTAAGCACATCATAAGCAATAAACACACAGAGTTTCCGGGTCCAAACTAAACCAGTGACGTAGAAACTGGGGTACCTGGACCCCTAGTAGCAAATATTTTCTACACCAAGGTCTTTTCGGACAAAGTGAGTGCATTTTATAAAATACCAATTAATTTTCCATAGATTTTGTCTCTTTAGAAATTTTTGTCAGATCACTCGTTTTGGAGATATTTAGATTTGAATATTTGAGGTTAAATCTTAAAATACTTGTATTCTTATGAAAGGATTTTGACCTATTCTAAAAACACCGTGGAGCTTGATATTGGAAACACTATATGGCATATGAAGAAAGCTATGACAGCTCATTACAACATTGATTGAATAATATGCCTCTCTTATCCTCAAGTAGTAGCTTAGAATCTTACCATTCATTAAACCTTTCCTGTGCACGCCACTGGTTATGCCGGCATATTCATTTTTGTTTATAGATAAAGAAATTTCAAAACAAAGAAAACGTTTATTTTTAAAATAAATAAAGCTAATAAGAATTAAACGCGACAACAATAAACATTACATTTGATACAACTCACGTGGTTATTTCTACATTCATGAGGACATAACATTGGGAACAAAAAAATACATAAAAATCTAAATGAGGTGTTCAAAGTGACTATCTTGGTATTCAACACAAGCCCGTGCAAATTTCAGAAGTAAAACAATAAAAATTTTATGCAAATTTATTGGTTCTACAATTACTAGTTGTGACTTTAGAGAAACAGAAGAATCTGAGATGGGTAATACCAGGAGAAGTATAGCATGAAAATCAGTGGCGTGCATAGACAAGGTTTATTGAAGGGTAAGCTTCTACGCTACTGATTGAGGATAAGACCAGTATATTATTCAATTAATGTTGCAATGACGTGCCCTAGCTTTCTTCACATTCCATATAGAGTTTCCAATATCAAGCTTCACGGTATTTTCAGAATAGGGGGGCTAAACGTTTTCATAAGAATATTTTAGGATTGCACCTCAAATATTCAAAGCTTAATATCTCCAAAACAACTGATCTGGCAAAAATTCGTTAAGAGACTATAAAATACACATCTTTTCTTTGAAAAGACCAGTGGTGTACCCCAGTTTATACGTCCGTGGTCTAGCTTAGGCCGGAAAACTCTGTGTGTTGATTGGTTATGATGTGCTCACTGAACGTCTAAAATCCTAGCTCAGTATCATTACCAGCTTGGTAGATATACACATATTTTTTTAAATTTCGTAAATAAAACTTTGTCACCCTGAATCTCGGTAAGGGAGCATCTTTGGACCCATATTTATAGGAGCTTATGTTATTTTTGGATGTACTTTCTACCCTAGAAATATTGGCACATCGTTTTGACGTGAAAACGGATCATACATACATACATACCATAAAAGTTATACAGGGTGTCCGCAAAGTTTTGGTTTTTCTTTTCAGACACAACTACCCTTGATATAACAAAGCTAATGTGTGGTGAAACAAAAAATAGGTGAAAAAGTGCTCACTATTCAGTTAAATTGAAATTCCAAGTACGGCTCTGTCGTAAAATCCGTATTTACATCGTACTCGTACGTCATGTAACTGTACGCCGGCGCTGGTGCTGTGAACGTGATCGAGGCATAGGACAGGACCGGCTTCGGTTTGGCTCAGGTTTGATTGAGTTTGCGGAGCCCAGTATTTAGGTTCTCTTAAGACATTGGTGTATATGCTACTAAAAAAATCCGCTCACTAATAGCATTGATTAACGTATTCTGCCTGAAGACAGCCATATACTGTATTCTGGACGCCCAAAAAAGGATCTGAAATATCCTGGAGCCATCTAGGAGACAGTAGCAGAAGACAAAAATGAATTTTGTAGTCTCTGATTGGCTATCTTCGAGCATTGATTAACGTATGTCATTTTGAGATGAATAATTAAAATAGGCATTAGAGAAGCGCCTGCTGTCACATAGGTGGCTTCTGGATATTTCAGATGCCTTTTGGGGCGCCATAATACAGCATATGGTTAGCTAACTTCATGTGGAATACGTTAATAAATGCTAATAGATATCGTAGCCGACTAGTCCGGCATCTACAATTATTTCTTTTTGTTTGCAGGCTCCACCAACAATACGGTTTCTGTCAAATCGGCACAAGTGCTAACTTCGTAGGTAACGAATTCGCTGTCGTCGGAGCTCCAGGCCCATATACCTGGAGAGGAACGATGTTTGGACAAGTTGTCGTAGGTGACTTTCTCACCAAAGACAAGACTGTTTACCACAGTCCGCTCAACGATGACGATGTTATTGAAAAATATAGCTACCTAGGTGAGTGAAAATAAGTTGGAAACTGCTTTATCCGTATAAACATATTGTTAACTGAGAAGAACTAATCAAGATGGATAACTCTTCAGTATCGACGAGGATTCATATTTCTTATTATGGTGTTGCGAGTCTATATCTTCTTAGGAGACAGAATGGATAATACGAATAAATAAAAGTAGAATACAAAAGGTCACATGAAACGTTTAAAATGAAAATGATTATTAATTTTCCAAATGTTATAAGTATTTGTTTTTTCTTTTATAGGAATGAGTGTTGGCGGAGGCCACTTCTGGAACAAAAGCGAATATATTTACATTGCCGGAGCACCGCGATCAAAAATGATCGGTCAAGTGTATTTTTTCAACAAAAGGCAAAACAGTGACATATTCAATATCACTCTGAATATAACTGGCGAACAATTTGCATCCAGTTTTGGATATGAGGTGCTGGCTGTAGACGTTAATAATGATGGGTGAGTGTACTTCGCTAATTACATATATCTGCGTCGGAACTCATTGAACACTATCTAATTACAACGTACTTGCATACAGTAACGTAGGCAATCAGTCAATGTAAACATAGCGGAAACGGTTTAAAAACCATTAATTATTGTCGCTATTTATCTTAAGGCAATGCACATATGAGGTGAGGTGTGTGAACCGTGAAAAAGTGATTCTGATCGGTAATAGACTTGAGTACGATTTGAAAGCATCTGGGTTGACAAACCTGATACCCCTAAGGGGTGTAGAAGTCTCATGGTCAAAATTAACATTACACAATTGTTGTTCATTTTTCAGCACAAGTTGCTGGTTCTGTTAACAGTAGTTTTCGAGGACCTGGTCATTTCACGGGAAGTCGATTACACTTAGCCTCTGCGTTCACCGGATTTAACCCCACCTTATTTTTTTAAAGTAACTACTTGAAAAACAATATTTGAGTTGCGATTGTATAGTACAATTTGTTGTACAAGTTTCACAATAAAAAAATTGAGTCGCTAATATAAGTGAAACACGTTACGACTTGTCCAGTGTTACGAGGGTTGTCTCAAAAAAGATTCCCAACGTTGCATCTTTGCCGCGCGCGATACTAGGCGAAATCTGGCAACTCCTTCGTCTTTGTCGGCTCCCCCACCACCGATCCCAACAAGAAGCGCCTATAGTGCGGTCATCCGATTTTTGCTCGTAATAACGTTACCACCCATAGAAATTCATCTCCGCTTGAGTAAGTATATGGGAAACGTGTATAAGTATTCAACATGTCCTCAAATGGTGAAGAGCGTCTTCTGACGGCTGTACGGTCATCCACGATGAACAACAAAGCAGTAGGCCTTCTATCTCTGTGGAAGTTGTGGCGAAGATAGAGCAAGGCTTGCTTTAAGATCGTCCAGTCACGATCCGGAAACAAGCGGTTGAAATTCCTGAGGCTTCTGAAAAAGCTGGAACGGCCAGTCCAAAATCGTCGTAGAGGAAAACTCACCAAAGCGTAAGACTCCACCACAATAATGCACATCCTCATGTCTCACAACAAACAAAGGACTTAATCGAGCGATTTGGCTGGTAAGTCATTGCCCATCCCCCTTACTGGCCTGGCATAGCCTTTCCGAAATTGAAGGTGCACCTAGGCGGTCAACGGATCGAGACGGACAAGGAGTTACAAGGAGCAGATACTGAGTTTCTGAACGGACTTCCTTGCAAAAGTGGATTTCACGTCTAACAGAATGCACAGAAAAAAATGGCGACTGTGGAGTTGCGGTTTATAGGGTGGTGGAGTTTTTATTGGTGTTTTTTTGTCGGGCCTTTTTCCCACCCCCTTGGAAAACTAGGGACATAAGTACACTCAACCATCGAGCTGGTAAGTGACCATTCTCTCCAAGCCATCCAAGCCACGTGTTCATTTCCTCAACATGATGTCTAATCCTATAGAGAGGAACCGTCTGCATGGATAATCCGAGGCCAATTTAAGTAGGACTGACGCCTGTGAGGAGCAGTGCCCCATTTTTGTGAACCCCCATTGTTCGAGGGTTCTACCTTCGGGTTCCAACTTCAGGTTTTCATCTGGGACTTCCCCAATCACCTGCATAGGTGGTTTTTCTTTTAATATTTACCGGAAACCATTTAGCTAGGGGGTAATGCAAAATAATTTTCTTAGCCTGTCTTCCAGGACTTCTGTTTAATTTTTTTTATTTCTTTACTCCAGGGACTCAACCTCGTTACTTGTTATTTCATTTCCTAGTTTTTGTAACTAAGTGGCGTCCAAAGCGCTACCGCTTTGCATCCAAAACCCTAGGTACAAAGAACCTCACCTTGAGGTCTCATATCTACCGAATAACTTTGGTTTTTCGCGGGATAACAATATATAATTTACAAGAGCACTATGAAGAGGAAAGGACATTTACCTTAGCGTTTTGTGTTAAGCTTCTCCAAGAACCAGAGGATTAACTATGCTTAATGATTCACTAGTCTATCGTTAGATCTACGATAGAATTTCTCAACCACTGAGTTAGAATAGATTTCAATTGCCAAGCTAAGCTGGTTGTGAGTTTGCAAATCTAGAATGGACTTCTAGCTAATTTGTCTAAACAAAAATATTGATTCTAACATTCCTCTGTCTAAATGTGTACCTATTAACTCATTGGAATCTCTTTTATAGCTATGATGATCTACTCGTGGGGGCTCCCTTTTACTATGACGACAAAAATGGAGGAGCTGTCTATGTCTACTACAACATCCGCAAGTGCAAACCAGATAACTGTACATGGGATGACGTTTTATATGGCACCCACCAGTCCAGGTTTGGTTTCGCGATGACATCACTGGGAGACATTAACAAGGATGGATACAATGATGTGGCTATAGGAGCTCCATATGAAGATGATCATGGGACGGTGTATGTCTTTTTAGGGTCGAGTCAGGGGCTATCTAAGGAACCTTCACAGGTAAGATTGACAGTAACAGTAATGTACTTAATCTAATTTACATTACTATATTTAAAACTCATCTGTTCCCAATATTCGGGTCTTTCAAACATTTTTCGAATTTATTCAGATTTATTATCTTTGCAATTGTAGCATGATCACACATCACTCTTTTACTGCTACTAGGTTCCACCTACTGTATATTGTTACCTATTTTTAGGTGATAAAATACACGGATCCAGAGACAAACATGACAACTTTTGGATATTCTCTAAGTGGTGGTATTGATATGGATAACAACGGCTATCCGGATCTTTTGGTCGGAGCTTATGATTCAGAGAGGATACTTTTGCTAAAAACAAGACCGATTATCCATATTGAGATCGACATTGATGGGAAAGAAATGAAAAATATTAACGCTACAAGAAAAGGGTGTCCAGCAAGTAGGAACAGTAACTATACATGGTAAATGCTTATCTTCAAAAAAATAGAATAAACCCCTTTTACATAATGTTCTTATTTTCAGCTTTTCATTCAGGAGCTGCTTCACCATATCCGGGAAACTGAAGAAAATGGAAAAATTCAATGTGACTTACCACATATCCGAAGAAAAGAAATTCGTACCTAGAATTTGGTTCCCAAATCCTCGAAACCCTCATAGTAAATTATCTGAAAAAACGAAAATGGTTCCAGTAAATAGCAACAAAAAGCAGTATTGCGAAAAGGAGACTGTCTACATAAAACCCGGTGTTAGCGATATACTGAGCCCAATAAAGGTGGGCATTTATGATCATGAATTATTCTTCATGTTTCTAGCATTGGAAATTGATAATAATTTCTTAATTGTTGCAGTTCAAAGTAAACTACACCCTGTTTGATGATGCGTACCATTCCCCAATTCTGAATAAAACTTCTGTGAAGTTCTTTGAAGCGACATTCCAGAAAGAGTGCGGAAATGACGATATCTGTGAGAGCTTCTTGGTTTTGAAGGCTGGAACCAATCTGAAGAGTAAGTTATTGAATTAAATCCCACCAGAATCTACTCTAAAAAATATAAAGAGTAAATTCACTGTCATTTTTTGGTGGCTGTAGTTATTGGTAAAACAATAACCTTGTAATCCAAAGTGGCTTTTGATGACACTGGGGATTATGTTCGTTTTTGTATTTGTCTTTCAAATCACTACCTTTCGAGAAACAATGGAAAGTAGTAAATTAATTTTTGCTTTTTATCTTGAAACTTCACTAACATTCACATGGGAAACTCCCATATTTTTATTTCCCACACTTACTGCCGAGGAAGTATTATAATCGGGAAAAATTTCGGTCTGTCTGCTAATCCTTGGCCCGTCTATAACGTAAAAAAATCCTCTCAGATTTGGATGAAATTTTAGGGTTACTACTATGTCAAGTACGGAAATGCCAAAAACGAAAAAAATAAAAATCGTCAAACTTAGTTTTTTCGATGTTTCAGAGGCTCCTGATCATTTTCGGAAAAAACTTTTGTAGGGGTTAATTTCTTGACATTGATATATTTATACGCCTCCAACCCCAGTTATTCTACGCACCTATTAAACATATTTCACTTATCATAAATGACCCCGTATATTTACACTTAAAACTTGAAAATATCTCAAAAAGTCGCGCATCGATACGTATGGTCGCAGTCGGCGAGATTAGTCATAGCAACAATCTTGTGCGTCGACAGGAATTTCTCAGTGGGATGAGGAAGGCCATTTAATTTTTGTTAAGCATGTTTTTAGCTAACTTTTTTCTCAGAAGGGCTAACTTATACCGAACATGATTCTTTACGAACTGATGTCAGCGTTGCGTGGGAAGTACAGAGTCAACAATTTTTTATTTCAGAAAATGAAGAAGGCATCTACATGGTGAACACCATAAGTAGTGAATTTATACTAGAAGCCATAGTTGAAAATCACCGGGAACCAGCATACGAGGCTAAATTATTTGTAATATACCCAAAGGCTATGAGTTATATTGCTATGCTAACCGATGAAGATGATCCTGTAAGTAGTATACCACATATAATAGAGTTTGATACTATTTCAGATTTGTTTGTATAATTTTTTACTCGATTTTTTTCAGAATAATGTAAAATGTTCCTCCTATAACTCAACATTGGTCATCTGCGACGTTGGAAACCCATTCCAAGGCAACAAAACGGCCAAAATCAAGCTGAGATTCGAGTTTGTTAAAGACACAAAAGAGCAGTTGCTAGATCTTAAACTATTTGTAAATTCCACCTCAACGGAAAGGTCCAGCAAGACAAAACAAAGAGTGATGGCTATTTTGCAGAAAATTGCCAAGTTTCAGATTAGAGGGTACGTTTTAAATTATAAAGGATTCGAATGGCCAGAGTTCAAGATATTTGGTGTTCAGAAATGAGTTGTTTCGGAAACTGGGATTTTAAAAATGTTCGAATTTCCACTTTACCGCTCGTGTCACTAAATTAGGATACAGTTATATGGCAATGTGTAATCTAGAGTGTTTTTTTTTCAGAAAAGCTTCTTCAAACTTATTCTACGGTGGAGAAGTAATGAAGGAATCCGATATGCAAAATTTGGAAGATATTGGTGCAAGAGTGACGCACAAATACCAGATTGATAATAATGGCCAATGGGATTTGCCCGATGTGAAGGTGACCATTATGTGGCCCATGAGGGTAAGTCCAGGACCGGATTCCATAGACCAAACAGGAAAGTGGTTATTGTACCTGGAGAGTCTACCTAGAGTGTCAGGTAATTGAAATACATAGATATACAGAGTAATTCAAAACAAGACAACGATATTTTCATACTTTTAAACTTTTTCGCCAACGTCGAGAATATCAAAAAAATGGAGAATCTTTCCGAAAATCGATATGCCTACCACTTCTCCAGCTGCCTCCTTTTACTAATACTATTTTTTTGCAAGACAATCATTTCTTGTTCTTGTTGCAGGTATAGGCATAACAGGATATTGTGTGGTGCCAGATGGGAAAGTTAATGAGTTAAATCTCAATTCAACGAGGCCAATGCAGGAGGAACCTGAAAACCTGATGATGTCTGACGAATTCTCAAGGTCAAGCGAAAATCCCATACGATTGCGACGAAGGAGAGCAGCAGACTATGTGGTTCCATCTAGAACTATAACTAAGGGAGGGAAGAAACGGAAAGTTGTGTCTATGGTAATGACATAAATTAACATAAGTTACGGAATGACATAATTAAGCAAACATAATAGTTGCAAGCACAACTTTTTATTTCTTCTTCTTTATACTCGTATATTTACATATGCATGGATAACCCCAGAGTCCAATTTTGATATAGCTACTATGGTAGCAATTTCTATTTTTTGAGTGGAGAGGCAAATATAAGCTAAAAAATCGTTGAATCATAATGGCAGGTTCAGTGAAAATCATCTCAAAGGACGGCGGGGTCCAACCAACAGAATTCAAAACTTCACAGCTCCATTACATTCATTTACGGAACCAATTTCTCCACGAATTTCATATATTTTTAGCAACAAACTTAGTTTTGAATCCCATCGGTTGGTGCTCGCCACCGTCCACCTTAAGAACACTGAATGGTTTTTGTTTGTAGGTCCTCAAAAGATCGGATTTTTTTTTTTTAACACATACAGAAACTGATTGTTTCAGAAACTGTTACCGCGTTGTACTAAAATTAAATAATTCTGTTACAGGATTGTATGCAAGAACATTCTGCAAAATGCGTCACTATTATGTGTACAATTAAAAAGCTAAGTAGAGGGAATCAAGCTGAGATAGACATCAAATCTAGGATATGGAACTCGACTTTAGTCGAGGATTACAGGAATGTGGACTGGGTTCTCATCAGATCTCATGCCTACGTCGAATTGGGCGATAGAACCTTCAAAGTTAGCAGTGAATCAATACCAGTTATATCGGTAAGTAGGAAATATAAATAAAATAACTACTTGATAATTTGACTTAAACTGGTGAAATTGACTTCTCAAGTTTATTTGGCAAACACCTCTAACGGGGGTACTTGATGTCGTCGGGAGGATTATAGAATATACTTTGTTGAAATTAATTCCGCCAGTTTATTCGGTGAAAATCTCGAATGGATTACGTTGTTGGGTGGACTCATGGACAGTCTGGTGAAATTAACATCGTAAGTTCATTCGTTAAAAAGTTCGAATACGTCTATGTTGTTGTGTGGATTGAAGGACATATTTTGTTAAAATTAACTTCGCAAGTTTATTCGGTAAAACGTTCAAATGTTTCTACGTTGTTAGGTGGATTAAAGGACATGGTCTGGTAGAATTACCTTTGCAAGTCTATTTGAAAAATATCTGGAATGGAAGAGATTGATGTGGTCGAGTGGATTAAAGGATATTGTCGGCCTTTAATCCAAATAGGATTTTGAAAAGGCATAATACAATCATCGACTCCTACCGGATAGATTCATTTGCATCTTGTTAATCAGTCTTTAGAATTGTGTAGGTCCTGGGCCAATTTTTTATGGTACCGAAAAGCCGATTGCTGATTTGGCAGTTCCATTGCTGCAGAATTCAGTGGACACACTACTATAAACCTTTAGTGCAAACAATTTGATGCTTGCGAAGTAGCAGTAGCATATATCTAAGTGTCAGATACATTCCTTTTAAAACCTTATCTGTAAACAAACTTTGTCGAAAATAAGTTTATTCTACTTCTTTCCAGGCGGAAACTATTGCGTATCCAGAGATCGTGCTGGCAGATTCGGGTCTGAACTGGTGGATTATAGCAGGAGCAGTCCTGGCGGGACTCCTGCTGCTTGTCCTGCTTATCATATTCCTGTATAAATGCGGGTTCTTCAAGAGGAAACGAGTATCGGACGATCATCCAATGCTGTCCGGAAATCTGCAGAAAAAGGGAGAAGCTGAAAATTTACTTAATAAAGAGAAATAATGAACTGTGACATGATGGTTGCTTATAGAAAAAGAAGTGCTTTTATATTATAACAGAAATGTGATAGTTATTTTTTAATTTATTTTTTATTTTTGTTGGGTGTGAATGGGTACCACGATGACAAGGACAACTTGAACAAAAATCATGTCACGATATTTACTCCATAGGTAAGATACAAACATTTTGAAATGATTGGTATCGATTGTTATACCAGCAAACTTCATATCCTGAAATGAATCAGTGAAATACAAAATATAACTTCGATAAAAACTCTTTGTCGGCAAAAATCGCAGATGTAGCTTAATAACTATAATTTAGCAAATCCAAGAAGCTCCAGGACAAAGCTTGCAAGGTATATGGACCAAGCCGTAAGATACAAAAGAAATTGTGCTTGGTATGCTTTTAAATATATTACTTAATCGTAGGTAAATTTTCAACTCCAATAAAATGTTCGCCCAAATAAAATTAACTGGTCAATTGTTCTGTCATATAACACTTTTAACTGGAATAGCTTTTGGAATGTTTCATAGCACGGAAACAATAGTAAAATTCTTCAACTCAAGAAATGTTGATGAATTCAAACCAAATCTTCTCAGTGTTTGTTTTTGAATTCCAAGTGGAAAATTAAATGTAAAAAAGACATAACATTTATTTATTTAATCATTGTACATGATATGATTAACCAGTCTTCTATATACACAATACGTGAAGTCTGTTATATTGTTACTATTTGTACTTAAGGTCTATTTATTATATGTTTGTTTAGATTTTTCAATGCAGCTATATTTATATTGTATGCTGATATATTATTGATCTCGTTGTAGGCATAAAACAACGATGTAAAAACAGTATGACGAAAAACACAGGACACAAAGACGTGTATTACTGTAGTACCCAAGAGGCATTTTTATCAATTTCCTTAAAAAACCTTATTGGAGCTTAAATAAATCTAACATTTCTACACGGTTTCTAACAATTAGACATTTTTGGAAGACCTTATGGATTTATTATTCTACATAGAAAGTGATATTCGAATTTCTGATCCCTCTTAATGCAGCTGTAGCCAACGTCCTCTGTAAACCACTGCGTTTACTGTTTAACACACGATTTTGTATTCTGTTAGCGGATGAAATGTTATTACTGAATAGTTATAACGTCATATTGCAATTTTAATGCCAAATTTTATTGTACGTTTTTGTAAATTTTGCATGCGGCCGGAATATGTTAATATGTTTTTTAAGGGTAATTAGGTCTCTATATGGAGGTACTGGTTCAAACTGCCATTTACAAAGTTTGTACAACATTTTGTATATAGATGTAAATATTGTAAATATATTATAATAAATGCTTTTTATCAGTTATGATGTGCATTTTTATTTCTCAAATAATCATCCGATTGATTGGAGTTCCACTATTAAAAGATAAAGTCTGGTGAAATTAACTTTCAAAGTTTATTAAGAAAACAATAGGAAAACAGTAGTAGTAGTAGTCGATGCCCGGTGGATTGAAGAATATATTCTGGTAAAATTAACTTTGCAAGTTTACTCGGAAAACATCGGGAATGGGGATAGTCATATGCGGATTAGCGAATATAGTCCAGCTTCACCTATGCAGAAGTAACAATTTTAAAAATTAATCTGTTAACACGCCTTGTCTCATTAACAAGAGACATGTTACTAAGGCATAATTGACTTAATACCATTAATTCCACGAGTTTGATTAACACGTTCGCTGCCAGTAAAATGCTGTTACATGCAGTCAGTGGCCAAGGGGGTTTTTAATATTCTTTTGAATGAAAATTGTTGAAAATGATACTAAGAGAAATATATTGTAAGTATCGAATATTTCCTTACCTGAATACAAATATTTTTTTGGTCACCAGATGGCACTAAAGGTAGAATTTAGGACAAACCGCGTACGTAAAAGTTCTCAAAAATATCTGACCTGTATGCCTATTCAGCCGTCCGAACTATACTACCGAGTCACCTGAACTGAAGCACCATATAATAATAGATCACACGCGTCGCCCTATAGCGACGGAGTCACAGCAGGCTAGACATCAGTCTCGCCAACAGGCGGCAGTGGCATTGAACTTGTTAATGGTTAATGATTGCTTTGTAGCAAATTCATTACAGTCCACCCTGTATAATCTCATTCCTACATACTCTTGGTCATCAAATTACTTTCAAATCAGCATGTCATAATAATATGTAGCATCCCACACAAGTTTTTCTAGGTGGTTGAACAGGTTTGGTAAAATACCACACGGTTTATACATATGTTACAAAAAGAGCTGACAATCAGATGTATAAAAAATATTTATTGTGTAAGAAATATATAGTAATAGAAAAAAGTATTAGTGCAACAATGGAATTAAATTTTACAGAACAAAAAATTTTTAATTCAATTACTCTTTCTAGGGCGCACTCATATCTAGCAGTATTGAAAAAACATTATATCAAAGTTCACAATAAAACTACCATATAATCTCACGTGAAGCTAAAAACATATTGTAGATGATAGAGAGGACAATAATTATAGGTACTTCAAATTTTGGCTGATAAAATACCTTGATATTTCTATAAGAAAGTTGTAGTTTTTAATTCTCAGATGTGCAAAGAAGGTATATATGGCTGTTATAAGCACTTATCATGAAAAGTCAGTGCTATAACATAGTTGAGTAATCCAAAAATGACTTACAAATACCTATAGTCAAAATCATAACATAGGTAACATACCATAATAAAAACCATTTTTTTGCAATAAAGCCACTTTAAAAAGGTGTGATGGATAATTAATACTGAAATACATATCAAAATAATTCAGTAGGAGATAACATCAATATAATCAAAAATGGCAATGTCACATTTTTAGCTAAATCTAATCAAGTCCAAGCTCTGCTTTCTCTTCAGCAGTTAGTTCTCCAAAATTTTCTTTTTGTCCAGATGGAACATTGTCTCTTTTAATGGCGTACTCTTCTATATCTAGATCGTCATCTTCTGTGCTGTTAAAAATTCCTTCTCTAATTTTTTTCCCTGATTTTTGCTTGACATGCTCTCTCTCATCAGGTGGGGTACTCAAATCACCTTCGTAGTTGATTATCTCATTCTGAGCTATTCTCCATTCTAAAGTTTCAGTGGAAAAGTCATCTCTGTTACCTAGCTGAGTAAATCCAATAATTTTATCTACCATGATGCCATTGTGGATCAACACCAATGTTGGTATAACTTTAATTTTGAGTTTTTCAGTTAGGAACGGGCATTTCTCTGCATTTAGCTTAGCAAAACGTGTTTCTATGTGCTTGGGAGCCAGCAGCTTCAAATGTTTATCTAGTATCTTGCACCTCTCATTAGACTCGGTGTAAAAGTGCAACACAACATTTTCAGAATTTTTGATGACATCAAAAAACATTTTTTCCTCTGCGAGTTCTTCATATTTGCCATGATCATTGCTCAACCACACCTTCTTCTGTTCTTCTTGCTTCTGCAGTTCTTTTATTCGGCTCTGTCGTATTTGAGCTAAATCTTCTGTTTTCAAGTTATCCAACTGTTCTAAAACTGAATCGACTTGTTTTTCTATCGCTCGTGTGACCTGAATCAAATTTTCCTCTGCAGTAGTCATTTTTAACTGCAAATAAGAAAAAACTATCAGCTGCACTTCATTGTTTTCAAAAATTGTAGCAACTTTTTTTTTACTGAATTAGATAACGACTTCAAAATCGAAGTATCGGTCTATTATCACTCATTTTCCAATTTACCTGAGATTTTTGCTATTTCACACGGGTATTTTTTGAAATATCTCCAATTATGTGAACCGGGTGTTTGAAAATGGGAAAATAGATATTTTTATATGGGAATGAGAAATGTCAATGGGTGGTGACGTCATACGTCAACATAACTGTCGATCAGCGTTGCCAAATAGCAGCCACGTGATGTGATCACCGGACGTGATGAAGGAATGAACAAGGAAAAACTGATTATAAAACATATTGCTATGACTGAAACACTGTCGCAAGCTATACTCCCACATGGGCGTCCGCAGGGTTTTCTCGCAGGGCACCGATTATCGGCAAGAGAATCTTTTTTAGTTTGAGAAAGTGTACTTGCGCACTTGCGCTCAACACTTTTTGGAGAATGATGGGTAGCAAATTTTCCCACGGGGGCAAATCATACTCTGAACCAGGACTGTCCAACTTAATGTGGCCCAAGGGCCACTTGCAAAAATTTTAATGTAGACTTGTTTCCTGGGTAGATTGGGCGCTAGATTCCAATCCAACATCATTTTGGTGATGAGATGAACGATTTGGTTCCAGGCACGTAATTTACCACCACAAATTTAGCCCTATGACACTTGGCCATTTTTCTATAATCGTACTCCAATCCAAAGAACAAATTACCTTTGTTTATTGTTTATTTTAAATAAAAAAAAATTATAAAAGAAAACGAATTTATTAAATTTTAAAGATCATTGATCTTTACAGTATAAAATAATATTTTGTAAAGCCCACATTTGTAGGTATCTGCTAGAATCCTGAGAGCCATGCAAGACTGTGATGAGTCCACACATTGACAATTTTCTCTAAGACTTGAGCCTTTCTTATTATGACTTGCCTTCAGCCACTCCTCTCTTCATCAGTTCCCATAAATTTTCTATTGTTTTTATTGGGGCTTATACCCAGTTAACCCATTGGTGAGAGATTTTACTCTTGTAAATATGTTTTAATAAACACTGCTGTGTGATAACGAGCACAGAATATGAAAACAACAGTATTTCCTGTGCTATAGTTCCAGTGTACAAGGCTGTTTTTACCACTATTTTATTTTGGGTCTGTTTTCTAGGAATAACCATTTGTAAATTTACAAATGTGCATAAAATAATTATTGGAATAAATGTACTTTGGTATTATTAAAAATTATTTTTCATTACTTTCACAGATTATAAAAAAAAATATTTCACAGTTGATAAGTTTAGCACTTAAATTAGGCCATTATAGCTTCTTGTTCCTTTTCCTTTGTTTTTCCTTTGCCTTTTTCTGCAAACAAAAACAATCATAGTCTAGCAAACCAAAAATAACATTTTAAATATTAACCTTTTGCAGGAACTTTCTCCTCTTCTTCAGCATCAACATCTCCTGTTGGTTCTTCAATAGGAACATCAGGCAGCTGTTCTTTCAAAATATTTGTTAATTCTTCTTCTACAGCATCTTCATCTTCTTGAGTTAGTTGACCAGAGAGAAGTTCATTAATTTCCTGGAAAAAGGAATAGTACAATAAAACAATAACTTCTACCCAAATAAGTACTAACATTCTGTTTGTCAATGCCTTCTTTAGTTTCATCCAAAATCCTCTCAATATCTGCAATATTGAGAGCATCGTTGACCTTCTTTAGAGCTTCATTTCCTTTCTTAAGTCCATCAACTACTTGTAATTCAACTTGAGCAAATTCTATATCATGTGTTAGTTTTTCTAGATTTTCTAATTGTGCATCTGTTTTGACTAGAAGTTGTTCCTGATATCGTTTCTTTTTTAGTAATAGCTTTGCTCTCCTAGAAAAAAATAGAAATACCTATGTGATTAACTATAATTTCAAGTATGTGTAAACATACTGCCTCTGGCCATTGTCAAGTAGTTTTTTAGCTATTTCCTTATCTTTGCTTAAAGTTAGCTCAATCCTTTTCTGGTACTGTTTCAATTTATCCCTTTGTTGTTTGAGTTGCTGGAAATTTCAGGTTTATTCATCAGAATTAAAAAGGTGTTCCAAATTAACTCACCAAAACAGCTTTATCTTGTTCTGTAACTCGTGAAGCAGGCTTTTTCTTACCAAATATCAGACCCATTCTACTTATGTGTTAAATTATCATCGCAAAAACATTACAATTTGTAAAAGCTACGCAGTGACGCAGTCACTTTTGTTTACCAAAACATCAACACTGACATCTGACAGTTGCAGTGACACTGATCACGTGCTAATCGCCGATCACCAAATACACGGGCTCACTACAAAACTCATAGAACATAAATCAAATCCAAGCGAATAACCAAAATTTCTGTGTTATGTGCCGCGGTTATAATATGGTTCAAGATGACACACGGGTTGATGACGTCTGTTACACGAATCGCTTGAACGCGTTGGTTTTAACCGCGGTTTTGTTGCAAGTTGTTTATTTTAGAAAAGCGCGTATATAATCTCTGATTATTTTTAGTATCACTTAATAATCGGTGCTTTTTCGTCTACAACTGTATATGGAAAGTTTAAATAAGAAACCTTTCATAATATTCATGGGAGAAATGTTTTTTTCAGATTTTTTTTTTAATGATGGAACCATGGCTTTGTAGCTATGATAACTTTCAATTCTCTAAATTTTTCCGCATGTCAAAGAAAACATTTATTGATTCAGCAGAAATGATGAAAAAAGAAATTAGCAAAACCGTATACAGGTGGATATCATCTAGTGAGTTTATATAGCCATATTTTAATATTCTTATGGTATATGGCTACACAGGATACTTTGTTAAGCATAGGAACTACATTTAAACAACAACCGTAATGAGTATAACTAATAAGGTGCTCCACTTTATGGTAAAACTGAAGTCAGCCTGTATCATTTTTCTCAAAAATGACGCTGAAGTAGAATAACAATATCCAATACCCGGCAAAATTCTAACTTGTCACATTTCAAATAATAACCAGAAATATAAAACTACTCTTGAGTTGGGTAAATACCACAATTTTGCGGTGATAACTATGACATATAACAGCTGATTCGTGACGTCACGGATCTTATAACCAAACTGATAACTACACTCGCTTGAACGGATTGATTGAACCCAAGAGGGTAAATACCATTTCCATTTGGTTATCCGCTTGAATTTGATTATAGAAGTGATGGATTAGATTTCGGCATGGAGAATTGCCTAATGACTCAATTTTTGCTTTCATTTGAAGTTTTTTTGCTAGAAATTTAAAAAATGGCAAAGACTAAAAATTTGCATCCTTTTTGGTTTGGACTATCTCACCATCCCACTTTTAAAGGAATCTGGCCACAAAGAATATACACAGATCTGTGCTACCGACTTGACAACCAAATGTGTGACACGAATGGTTATATCTTTTGACATCTTGAGAATTTTGACATGGTTTTGACAAACGGAGTTAACTTCAACCTCACTTATTTGAAATCCCAAAAGTCAAAGTGCATTTTGATTAATTTTTAAAAACTAGATACTGGTATATCGAAATGTTGGCAAAAACAGGTCTACTTATTGTGTCTAATCCCAAACAAATACATAAAATCTTGTCTTCTATACATAAACAAGTGAAAAACACACTTTATATACAACTTCTCTCTGCACTTGGTGATCCTCTGGGTGCTTTTCAACCCGTAGTATTCAACACTTGGCCGAAATTCAGTAAGACACTCTTCAACATCTATTCGCAGGTATGTAAATATTGAAATTATTATAATATAGCACGCCATTAAAATTTATATAAGTGCATTGCTATATACAACAGTTTTCTAATATATGATGTTTAGGGGCTCTAGAATTCGGTTTTGTGAAGCAGATGGACATACGTGTTGTCTTTCTGGTGATGGTAGACTTAGCATAACCACGTATTTAGGGTTTTTGCAGGTTTAACATCTACACAACAGTGCAATATGTAATTTTGCGCAAAAAAATCTTTGACGAAGCACTTTTTATATAGAAATTTGTTTTTCCAATACACGATTTTCCAGCAATACCTTGACGCCAAAAGCAACAGAAAATAAGTAATGATGGAGAATGAAGAGAGGATGGATGGTGCTGTATTCGATTTTTACTTCATTAATTTGATGTTCATTATGTTGTTTTAGAAGAAAGACTGTTTAAGTTACTGGTTTTACTTGTTGTCTTTGATTATCGTTTATGCTATTTCAGAAAATATTGTTTTAAATTATTCATTAGCCTATCTTTCATTTTACACAATTATATTTTAGTTCATCAATTTGTCATTTTTTCATTATTATTTCTACAAGATACTATTTTAGATTATATATTCACTCATTCTTAGCAAATATACCTTTTCAATTATCTTATTTTTATTATCATATCTCCTGTTGTCAATTTTCCAACATCACTAGTTTTGTATTTGACCTCAAGGTGTTGCTGGAAAATGGTATTTTGTAAAAACAAATTTCTATATAAAAAGTGCTCCCCAAGATTTTTTTGTACAGAATTCCATATTACACTGTGTGTAAACCTGCAGAACCCCCTAAATAACTGGTTATGTTAAGTGTACCATCGCCTTCTTTCTTAGTGTCATGTCAGATATTTATCTTTGTTATTTACTTTCTTCAGTGCTTCAATTGCTAATTAAAGCTAAGCAAACTCTCACTATATTGCTACTGTGAATTTTGCCAATATTTCTCTTACAGGTAGCAGTGCATTGCAACCATCTTGATGTAAGAGTACTGATATCTGGCCTCAAATACAATATTCCAAAAATTAATACCAAAAGCCCCATTGACTTGGTGATATTTGATAAAACGTATAAAAAATCAGATATTGAGCAGTTTATCAAAGGCAAAATAAATAACATCACTGAAAAATTCGAGATTATTACAGTTGATACTGGAAAAGCAGAATTTGAAGAAGAAAATATAGATGAGTTTTTAGCTGATCATGTGGTGCTTGGAGGTACATTTGATAGAATCCATGTGGCTCACAAATTTCTGTTGAGTGAAGTTGCCTTAAGATCAAAGAAGATTGCAACAGTATGTGTCAAAACTATAGTACTATTTTAGCCATTATAAGAATATTTCAAATTTATTTTTAACCACACTGATGGTTAATCTATATTTTGTGGTAATTTAAATTGTTCTATAATTTACAGTGATCTATTCTTAGAAACTAAGCCTTAAAATATTTAGTTCAAGTCCCACTTTTTTGTAAGTATGGTTGAATATTGATATTTTAGTATCTTTGTGTGTTAAGCGAGCCTATGGAATATTTGTAATTTAATTTATCTTGGAATAGCATGACATTATCCATTTTATTGCAGATTGGTATCACAGATGAAGGCATGATAAAATCAAAGTTACTATGGGAATTTATAGAAGGTGTAGATGTTAGGATAAAAAATGTAACTGAATTTTTGAATGATATCTGCCCTGAACTAGAATATAGGGTAGCTAAAATCCATGACCCATTTGGCCCTGCAGTTGTTGATGATACTATGCAATTGTTAGTTATAAGCCAAGAAACAATCCAAGGGGGAATGAAGATCAATGAGAGTTAGTTATTGATTATACTTTAAACATTAAGCTATGTCATTACTGCTTACTAAGTTGAATACCTTATTCCATAAATAGTACACATAAATTTGTTTGTGTACAATTTTACTTACATTATAAAGCCACTTAAGACACCAGTGAAAGTTATCACATCAGTAAAAGAGTCTGATTGTCAGTTACAACCTAATAAGCAATAATTGCTAAGCTAAAAAAATTATTACCATAAACAGTAGACCAACATTTCATCATGTTTAATCTTACTTTAAAGCCATTTAAAATACTAGTGGAAGTTTGTAGAATATATAGAATAGAATATTAACAGAGTATGTTCTAGTCAGGAAAGCAAATGATCTACCAGAACTGCACCTCTTGCCACTTCAACTTATAGATGAACCAAATCCTGGTCCAAATGAGGAAAAAAAGATCAGTTCCAGTAATACTAGAATAAGGATGTTGGGAACTGTGATCCATCCTATTATACCTAATACTAAAATTCCTCGTTCACCATACATCATTGGATTAACAGGTAGTATTGCGTTCTTCTTGGAATTTGCAAAATGTTTACAAGAATCCAGGAGCCACAAAAACTGTTTCGAACCATATATTTTTTATGAATATCTTGCTATATATTCTGCTATAGTTCTTTTCACACTTTTCAAAACTAGGAAGGCCAATGAACTTACACAAAAAATTGTTTGGGCACAAAGACTGACTGCATATGTATGCGTGAAAGAGATGGATGTATGAAAGTAATTCCTGTAGTTTCACTTTGACCCACCAAAATCCGTGAATAAACATATAGTTAGGTCATGCTTTTTTGTCAAATCACAAAAAAAAAATGGAATACCAAATTTTCAACCAAATCAGTTTTGTAGTTTGTGCTTATGCAGTTTGATGCAAGCTGTTTGAAAAACCACGTACAAAAACTACTTTTATGAAAAGGCAAAATATTTAAATTTTCTCATACAGTTTTAATTTTAGGCGGAATAGCCAGTGGCAAATCAGGTGTCGCAAAGCACCTCACGGATCTAGGTGCCCATGTAATATATTGTGATGATATTGGGCATGAGGTATACAAAGCAGGAAAGCCATGTTTTGATGCTTTGTTAGTATATTTTGGAAAAAGAATTATAGCTGATAATGGAGAGGTCAATAGGAAAATATTAGGGGAGATAGTGTTTAGTGATAAGGTAATTGGAAAAATACTGCCAAAAAGACCAGAAAAATGAATTTGTCTACATGTAAAAACCTATATCTGAATTTAACATTGTTCATTCATTTTTTTAGAAAGAATTAGATAAATTAAACTCCATAGTCTGGCCTCATATACTAGAGGAAGTTGAAAACATTATAAATAATACAGACAAAAAGGTTGTAGTAGTTGAAGCAGCTGTAATGCTGATGGCTGGATGGCAAAACAGATGTCATGAGGTAATTGATGTGAGGGAGTTGTTATTCAATTATATTAGAATTTGGATTGTTTCAACAATCATATGCCATATAAATTTAAAAATCAAATAAAGTGTACTAAAGATCTTATCTTATTTATCATATCCGTATTACTGTGGTTATTGTAATTTTACTGCTTAATTTTTATTGTTTAATAAGGATTATTAAAGACTTTGTCAAAGAACCTTGCACAAAAGCAGTAGAAAAATTGTTGGTGGACTTCATTCTGTACCTGGTGAATTTGGGCTATCAAAATCACATATACAATGGTGATGAAACATGTTTATGAGCGTCAAGCTCAGAAACTATTTTCCAAGTAGAGAGAGTCAGCTATGTACATATGTTACACTAATAAGTTTAACTTTAAGCTTAACAACTAACCAATAAACTTAACTTTTTTATTTTACGTTTTCAAGCTCTCATTTTCTCATATGTCACAAAGAGTGTTAATAGTAGATAGAATGTTATCTCATTTGTTTTTTGTTTGATGACAATCTTCATAATTAAAATACTGATTTCTTTTCTCTAAAAATTATAATGACAAGTAGACATTATGTAAAATTTTCATTTGTTTGATAATCAAACGATGTCGGCAACGCTTTATCTACGATTTGTAATTATTATTCCAAGTCATAAGTATTTTTGACTTACATTATTGGTTAAAACCAGTTTTGACCGATGGAATAAAGGCAAAATCACAATTGCCCAATCTTTTTGAAGTTAAGAGTGATTTTGACCAATGTCCAGCCAAAACTACTTTTGACTGATCTTTGCAGTCAAAAGTGGTATTACTGGGTAACAGTTTTGACTGTAACATATACAGTTCAAAATTGGGTTTGCATAGAACATAAAATTAATCTGGTAAGTTATCTTCAAAAAGGCTACAGGCGAAACTGCATATGAAAATTATTCCCGAATGTATCGAAATTTAGGTCGATCTTAATTAAGTCATATTGGGTCAAATTATCGTAGACAAATTTTCATATCGTTACGTCGCTCTTAGAGGTCCCTAACTTCAGAAACGTGTTCGAAAATAATTTTTTTCGGGCAAAATTTTGGACCAAAACGTTTGAAAAAACAGCCGAACGAGCCTATACGTTACACTAGTCTATAAAAAATCACGGTTATGGAGGATATAACAATGTAACGACGGTGTTTTTTCAAACTCTGTTGACCAAAATTGCGCCCGTAAAAAAACATTTTCGAACATGTTTCTGAGGTGAGTGGCCCCTAGGGACGACCAATCGGTCTAAAAACTTGGCTAAGGTGATTTGGTCCAATGCACCTTAATTTGGATACCTTTAGTTTCGTCTGTAGCCTTTCCGACATCCACTATACAGAGAAATCCATATACCACCGACGTCATAATGTATAGGAGAAGGAAGCGTGCAATACGTATGTTAGAAAGAGATAGAAGCACCAAGTTGCCTAGCAACCGAAGCGACGAGGCCTCGGACGCAGCTGCGGCTTGCCATGTTGCCATCGGCGCACTATTTCTAAATTCAAATCCTTTATTCATTCCGTCGATCTCAAAGAGAAGAAATTAGGAAAAGGCAAAAGCGAAAAATAAATACCAGGAACAAAATCTAAATTAATAATAAATAAATACATATATAAAATTTGTCACATAAACATAGAATCTCACATGTATATGATTAAAAATAGGAACTTATTTAAAGGTTTTGATAATTTAAAAATTGGAATAAGAGCTTAAGCGTACTTATATTTAAAAAAAAGTAGGAACAAAAAATAATAGGATAAAATTAAATTAAAACACATACCAGCACACCAATGGACAAACTAACATATATGTATAAATAAAATAGTGGCACTAGCCTTAATCTCTATCGACTATTCGAAAGCCTTTGACAGCATCAATCATAAATTATTACTTGCTAAATTAAATTACATAGGTCTTGACAGTGTATCCCTTTCATTTTTCGACAGTTACCTTCATCAAAGAACTCGGTGTGTTTTTCTCAATCAAGAAATGTCTCAAGTGACAATAATTCCCTCAGGCGTACCTCAGGGCTCTGTATTGGGGCCGCTGCTGTTCCTCATATATACGTTCGACTTAAGCAAAAGTATTGATAATTCTCATGTCCAGTCATTTGCAGACGATACGCAATTGCTTCATTATTTTAACCCAGATAATGTCAATAATACTACTCAAATTTTACAAAACGATGTTAATAAATTAATTAAATACTCCTTAGATCACAATCTACTTATTAATCCACAAAAATCTAAAATGTTATTATTTTGCGCACAAAGAAAAACATACAATGTAACAAAGCTCTTGAACATTCAGATAAATAACCAAATCTTGCAATTTTATGATTCTGCAAAAATTCTTAGTGTTGTTTTTGATACAAAATGAAGGTTTACTGAACATGTTAAAAGTCTATCTCAGAAAACCTACCTACGGCTGCGCACTCTTATAGCAAACAGGTATTTACTAAATTTTAAGTTGCGTAAAAAACTATGTGAAGCATTGGTCATATCTATACTAAATTATTGTAATATCGAATACTATACTTATTTAGACAATTTCACTAAAAACGTTATTCAAGTTATTCAAAACAATTGTATACGATTCATTTTTGGCTTACGTAAATTTGATCATGTATCAGCGAAATATCCCGTTCTAAACTGGTTAAAAATTAATAACATGGTCAAGTATCACTATTCAGTTTTTGTTCACAAGTTGTTGCTCACGTCTAAACTTTATTACTTGAAGGAAAAAATTTCATTTAATAATGATGTTCACTGTAGAACTCTCAGAAAAAATAATATTAGAATACCCCTGCATACGTCTACACTTTTTAAACGCAGTTTTTCTTACAATGTTGCTATTATTTATAATGACCTTCCTAAAGTATATAAAGAATTTTCATTACCTGTCTTTCGACAAGAAGTTAAAACATTATTACTCAACCCTTCAAACATATAATTTACGTAATCATTCATTTCTTTTTTATTCCATCTTTAATTCAGATTAATAATTTTTTAGTGCATTTGGTTTTGGAAAGTATGCCTTTTTCTCTATTTTTAAATTTTACTTTCGATGTAATGAACCAAATCTGTTTGTGGATAGTGTATTCTTTTGAATATCTGCTAGAGACTATATGGTTAAGTGTAAGAGTAGCAGCATGCTAAACTTCGCCATGTAAGTCTGACATTTGGCTATACTACAATGTAATTGTGGATAAATAAAGACGTCTATTATTATTATTATAAACAGTCTAAAATCAAGCGAATTCGCAAAGCGAGATGGCAATTATGGAAATCAATACAAAAAATGGACTATACAGGTATGTTATTATCATCAACATATTCAGACACGGAATAATATGCTTTCTTTAGCAACAGTGTCTCAATTTCTTTTTTTTTTAAATCATATTTGTTGGCCTGTTTGATCCTGCCAGGCCACTCATTATACAGGGTGTTTCAGAACTAAGGGATCAAACTTCTAGGGGTTATTCAGCATAACAGTAGAAAACATTTGAGTATTGGAGGAAGACATTTTGAACAATTGTTGTTATCATATCATGTACAAAAGGCAAAAATTAAATGCATTAAATCCTATTTAGGCAATTCATCGTCTTTCTAAATTTTAACGCGTCTTAGGGTGGTAGTGACACTTTTCCGGATATGGGTCCCTATACTCAAATGTTTTCTACTGTTACACTGAATAACCCCTATAAGTTTGATCCCATAGTTCTAAAACAGCCTGTATAGTTTTATGCCTATGTACCTAGGACTAGGTTCCATTGTGTACAACTTGTATGCAGGAATCTCCAAGATCAGGGACGTATTGCCCGCTTCTCTCTCGTACACGTTACCTCGTCAGTAATGTTTGGATTTCTATGTTTATAAGATATGATGCCCAAAGGTCCGTTCGGGTTCATTTTTACTTTACAAGACTGACTACAAATATAACTTGAAATATATATTATATTAAAGCATGAAAAACCTCTATTTATCACCTCGGGCTTGGATGCTTTCCTCAGCATTTTCTTCTTCCACGTACATCTTCTGCGTTATAACCCCCCCCCTAGTCGGAAAACTGAGTAGGAACGTTTTCTATTTTCAGGAAGTTTTCTTCTTTTTGCATCTTTCTTGGGCCTCTCTTCACTGGATTCGGGATTTTCTTCATCTTTCTTGTCTTGGGGTAGATCATTTTTCTCCTTCAATAATGTATGGCATTGCTTCTTCTAAAGACGAAGGATTTTTCAAACGAATAACCGTTTATAAAGGTCCTGATAATCCACGCACTAAAGCTGCGACTTTTACTTCGGGCGTTGCGTCTGAAATATTCAATTTGTGGGCAAGAATATTCCTTAAAATTTGGAGTCTTTTTCCAAAATCTAAGGGTGACTCATTTCTATGTGGTGAGGCTAGAAAAAGATCTTGTTCCAAGCATTCTAAACTTCTGTTATCACCAAGACACTGCTCTAAAGCATCTTTTATTAAAGGCCAGCTATTTAATTCTGTTCTACAACCAATTAAAAGTTGAGCCCTACCAACTAATGTAGTCTGTACCACTCTCAATATCTCTTGATCGTTTCTTCAGAAGTGTTGAATGTGTCGATTAGATAATCACAACATGAAATGAAGCTTGGTAGTGTATTGAAATTACCATCAAAATTTGGTATTGTATCTACAAACATGCGTAACAGTTGTAAACTATTTTCTGGGGATGCCATTTCTTCGGATTCTGATTCTGAAACAGGATTATTAATTCTTAAGTTATTTGGCTCGCTGATATTGTCTAATAATGACATAAAATCACAACTTTTCAAAATATGATGGGGCGAAAAGGAATTGAGGTTCTTACCTTCTACTATCTTCTTGGAAGGCGGCAGGCAGAAGCAAGGGCCAACTTCTCGCTCTTGGGCTGTGGATTCTTCGTTCGTTGTTGTAGGTCGAACGCCGAAGGGACGATACCCACGTTTTCAAGTCCGTCACGGTGCCGCGAATTTTCGAAAAACTGTGTTAAATCCTACTGGATGACTGAGCCAGATATGTTGCCGAAATGACCGTCGGTTTTTTTTTTTAAATATTTTTACTTTACAAGACTGACTACAAATTTAACTTGAAATATTTTACCTTTGAATAAAATGTACAATACCTCGGGTGTAACAAGGTCCCACAGATATTCTGCCAAAAGTTTTTTGCAATGCTTTTTGCCAGGTTCCATGAAAGAAGCAATTCAGCGTAAATGCTTAAATATCATTTTTGATTAAGGTATGGACGACTGTAGTGCCAAGGAAAGAAGTCATCAGTCGCCTGGTAAACAGAAATGGTCTAACAGAAGAGCAAGCTGTAGCTCGAGTTGAAGCCCAACCGCCATCCACGTTTTTTGTGGAACATGCCAATGTCGTGTTCTGTCCTTATTGGGAAGTAGATTATACCAGGCAGCAGGTCTTGAAGGCTTGGGAATTGTTACAAGGAAGGATAGCTCAGTTACATGAGGGCAAGTTGCAGTGCGATGAAGGCAAGAGACACTAACCAAATTGTTACTGATGAAACATTTTTTTTGAAGTGGATACTTATACAATTTTTCAGGTAACGACGTAGACTCAATCGGCTTTCAAAATAAAGTCAAACTATTTGTATTGAATAAAATTATTTCTTAAATGAAATATGTTTGGGGTTTATACAATCTAAAAAAAAATTGATCATAGGAGATAAGTGATAAAAGTGTCTTATTTTCATAAATATATTACTTTATTTTATACGGGGTGTTAGCGCTATTGTTTTGTTTCGTGATTCATTTTGAAGCTTATATCATATATTACTTGACGACTAGACTGCATTTATCGTACATAGCTGGTCTTTGTATTATTTGGTGTTAATTAAATCATACATTTTATGACTGTTGAATAAAAAATATGCATACATTTTTTTTCTTTATTTGCTAAATATAACACGAATTATGTACGTATTCGACAAAATATCAGCACATATAATTATATTCAAAATAAAAAAAAAAACATTAATCTTAACTACATTTAGTAGTTAATTAGATGATAATTAGAACAACTTTGGCATTATTCTACTATCTAGCAGATTTCAAGCACAATACTGTCGGATTCGCAAGTTGGTCAACAAGCAGTTTCCACAAGCATATCAAAGTTCTCATTCAATTGTTGATAAGCCTGCTCTGTAATCTTGGACAGCTGCCCTTCAGGTAAAGTTTCAGGTTCTTGCTTCAGAATTTCATTGGCTTCTCCCAGAGCATCTATAGCTTTCCTTAATTGTTCTTTGAACTGTTCTTTTTTGATCGCGTCATTTTGGTACTGGTGTCTGGCAAGGACCATCAGTGGACCATGGAGCTCATACAAGACCATACCTGTAAATAGTTTTTTATATTTTGTAAAAAGAACCATGTCAAGTCTATGATTATTCTTGACAAAGTTAAGGTGAAAAATGGTAAAAGTGATAGTAAAATACTCTTTACTATTTGTTTAGATCACTTTACCTCTTATTCTCGACTTTCCTGGCTCAATAACATCAAGTACTTCCAACAACTGTGTACAAAGCTCAACTTTCCTCTCCAGGATGATATCTGGTAGATCTTCCAAAGAATATCCATCAGCTTTGCCATACAACTGCACTAGTGCGCTTCGCAAAATGTTTATGTAAGAATTCTTTGGATGTAATACAGATTTGTACTTCTTGTATAAAGTTTCTCTTTGTTGAAGACCTTCGGGGCCAACCACGTATTCAACCTGATCCAAGTCTGCTTGAATTGCTGCATACACTTTGCGGACTGCAACAGCCGTGGTCTTGTAGTCACAGTGGGTACATTTCCATTCACAAGTGTCGTCTGGAACAAACATATGATTGATAATTTTCTAAAATATATTTCTTAGAATTTGGAACAAACTGATCTTTACTGCTTTAGAATGATTTAACCTTAGACTATTTAAGTACTAGCTCAATAATTATATGCATTATCGCTGTCGCGCGATACATGAGTGGAAGAAACTTGTACTTCATCAAACATTCAAATTTCAATACAGAAGATAGCTAAAATGAACCATAGTTTACAAACATATGCATTTAAGTCGTACCTAAAGGATTGGTAGAAACAATGACCCCATTGTCACAACGTTGGCACTTCAGTGTACCGCAGTGCGTACCTAGTTCTGTTTTGTCAGAACATCTCTCACAAGTACAATCAAAATATTTTCCTTCCTTCAAAAACTCTCTTCTGACAAGTGTAGGCCATAGTGAATATGTGTAACTGCTGTGAAGTTGAGCTCCTTTTTTGACGTCAATGGCCGCCCGTACTGTCACACTATGAAAAATAATACGATGATAAATATAGGCTTTATTATTTTTTACTTAGATCTAGATCTACAACTCATTCTGTAGACAGGTTATTTCATACACAAACTAAAAATCTCCCGACCGTCAAGTGAATCTCGTGTCAACACTTTTTATTAGAATAATGATTCAGAAAATGGTTAAAAGTTATGAAAGACTCCACCGTCTTTCATTAAATGACATTTAGTAATCACGTTCCCCCTCCCCCTCCCCACAGTGCGTAAACAGACGAACCGATTTTAATCAAACCCAGCTAAAAACCATCTTGACGACTTTCGATTAAAAAAACGCATTCAATTTGATTCAATCCGTTAGAGCGCTATGATGTTATAGAAATACAGATACGCACACATTAAACTCTTTTTTGCAACACAGGCCATCAATACAGCAAACATTAGTGCCATGGTGAAAGTTCAGGTATGCAATGGAAACTCAAGTAATATTTTTTATAGAAACATGCAGTTTTTGTTATACCCTTTTGAATATTGTTTGTAGTCAGTTCTTTCGCATTGTCTGTTTATATTGTCCGTACATTTTAATAAATAAAACAATTCTAACTTATGGCTTCATCATCGCGAGGAAGCTGTTTGAATGATCACAATGCGTTTTGTTATTCAGAGAAAACCAGATTTGTCTGACGGCAATGTGTACGTGTGTACAAGAGAGAAGCGCGAGAAGTATGTATCAACACATGTTAGAAAGAGATAGAAGCCGGCTGAAGAGCGAAGGTCATCACAACCTTGCCTAGCGACGGTTGCCCAAATTTTACACCAGAAAATGTTCGCACAGGGGTCTACACTAGGTTATGTTACTGTAGTTACCTAAGAAGTTGGTCTGTTCGAATATTTAATTTGATATTTTGTTTCCATTTTGATTAGAATTATCTTTGAGTTTCCACCGATGATGATAAAATCACATCCTGAGTTATTGTTATATTTTGCGACAGTGATCGGTCGGAAAATGTAGCAAATACCATTACGCAATACAAATTATAACTGCCTGCGTGTATGCAGGTGAAAACCATTTCGAAGCAGGACGACACCCTCCAATGAGCGCTAGATCGGTACTTATCAAAATTGCTCATCTATGATCATGGAGGTGGAAACCTTGCCTTGGAGGATACGAGAGTTGCGCTGTTGCCAAGCGAACCAATGTTGCAGAATTTGTGGCGATCCTGACTTTTTATTTCGACCTAAAATGGAGCGCCGTTAGGTCCGATCCGGAATCGATCCTATACAGATTCGACACAATTCAAAAATGTATACACTCAAAATAAAACCATTATTTGAGCGTACAGAATAAACTAACGCATATTTTCAACATGCATCTTAATTCAACGAACTGGTGTAACATATTGGCAACGCGCCAAATTGCCACGTCCGGGTTCCTAGGCAACGTGTTGATGAGGTACGATATCCAGCCGGCATCTATCTCTTTCTAATATAAGTGCTTATAAACACTTCTCGCGCTTCTCTCTCGTACACATTGAACTCGAGCCCGTCAGCCAAATTTGAACCACATTTTGATAGGTGTCTGATTTTCAATTTATGAGCTTGGAACGTTTATCAGACTTCAGTTTTCAAAGTAGTGGAGCGCTAGTTTTTACGCATAGTATATGTCAGATATCAAATTAACTCCAATAACATTGAGTTTCTTTACTGCAAATAATCCTTCAGCTTACCTAAAGTCTTCAGAGTCCCCGGTGCCTTTACAGTCAATAGCATGATGAATGTTTGATATACAGTTGTGTGATAGTATAGCTAGTTTAGGAAACAAACACCTGATCAGATATCCTGAAGGAGTCCTAGCTTCAAAAGCATTGACCTCCAAGATACCACACACAGTGTGAATGAGGTCTTCTGGAAATCTATCCAGTTTGCATGGACCTCTTAGATATTCGACTACATTATGTTGGTTGAACTCCCAGATTGGTTTGGTTTTTCTGATATCATTGTGGGCTTCCATGGGTTGAACTTCTGCCTCCCACCGCTTGGGATCTTTTTCTTTCATTAGAAGAAATCTGAAAACAAAATTTTATGGTTCCTGGGCAAAAAAACAAAAAAAAACATTTCTGACATACTCATATAATCTTATTTCTATCAGGTTGTCAAAAATAAGCAAATATGTATATCGAATTCTTAGTGTTTTCTCTCCTTCAGAAAGGCTGGGGTATTTCTACTGCTCCGTATAAACGTCAAGAGACGATAAAAATAAAGTTTTCTCAATCTGAAATATCTTCAATAAGTTCAATAGTTCAATAAGAAAATGCCTTTCTAAGTGACAGGAAAAACTATGAAAATCAAGGCCATAAAGGCGTCCCACAAACTGAAAACGGGGCAGCCAGTTGCTTCTGGTGAGAGCGCAAAAGCAACTGAAGTGGGAATCGGATAAAAGTCGAGTTGCCATCGGGTTGCTTTCGTTGAGAACCGTGTCTCACATATCAAAATTCGTCATTCTAATAAAATTTTACTTACCTCAAAGGTGTGATGCACTCGTATTGTAAACAGACGTCAGTAGGGTCTTCCACAGGTTGGAACTTGACGCCAGCTTTTGAGAATACATCACATTCAAAGTCTTTGTGACAAGGTAATTTCTCACAATCATCACTGCAGACAGGCCAACTACATTTAGAACATAGTTTTGTACAGTCCACAGGATTGTAACAGCCCAGACAGAGGCAGGGGCTATCTGAAAGGACAATACAATTTAGCTGTTGATATGAACCGTTTTAATAGTTTTGGATATACAACACTAGAAGCGGGCAGGGCCGATTCAGTCTTGTCTACAGATCGACCGATATCGATATTTTGGCAATATAAAACAACCAATATAAATTATAAAGCCAACCGATGCTATTGAATTGGAAAAAACAATATAATACTTAGAAAAATTTATTTTAATTGCATTGTTATTTTTGTCACGAGTATAATAAAGCGATTAACAGCCAATTTCAATCTTCGGTTTTGCCTGACTCATTCATCGAGCATTTTGGGACACGTCGACGACGATGTGATATTTTTAAAGCTGATACTTTATCATTGGAGTGTTTGCTACGTTCACCTGGGAGACCTGTCGTTTGCATAGGGCGCAGGTGGTGCTATCAATGTTTTCAGCCTTTTGATCAGTAACTTTGTCGAAATATTTCCAGATATCACTACAGTATATTCAGATAAGAGATAGACCGGATGTAAACAAAAGGTTCGGGTGATTTTCACGCTAACGCCGCCGTCTCGACGTAAAACAGGAGCCCTCATTGGTCAATTCGCAATTAAATGCCTATGCCGAGCGGCAGAGCAGTCGTATCAAGGCAGAGTCACATTCAGGTTCAGACGTGTTACGTATGTCGTGTGCATCATTGCAATTTGATATTTCTTTGGACGTTTTCGTTTGTTATCTTATTAAGTTGTTGAGTTTGTCGTTGTTATTGTTATACCTTGTTATTGATTGTTATTGTTATCAACTGCTTGCGCAAAATGCCCAGTAGTACAGATACTGCCGATGAAGTTGTAAACTCCTGTAGTCCACATAGGAAACGCTCTAAAAAAGACACCTGAGTGCAGAAATGAAAGAGGTAATTTTGAATATATATAAGATCGAGCGCGAGGATAACGAGGCATCAACCATCAAAGAAATTGTTGTGAAGGTTTCTCACAAAGTTGGGGTGTGTCGCGCATCAGTGTTTAATGTGTTAAGACAATACAAAAAAATCACACCTTTTCTGAGCCAATGACCAGTAAACATCGCAAAAGTATTGTTAAATCATTGGATGAAGCTGATAAGCATGCGATTAGGAGGAAAGTGCATGAATTCTTCTTTAGGAATGAAATACCTACTATAGATAAAGTACTGCAGGAGGTAAATGGAGATACAACGTTGCCAAATTTCAAACGATCAACTTTCCATGCGTTACTGAAGCATTTAAATTTCAAATGAAAAAAACGGGGTCGTAATAGTTTACTAGTGGATAGAGAAGAAATTGTGCTATGGAGGAGGGATTATTTAATAAAAATTGGGAAATATAGAAATCAAAACAGGAAGATTTATTACCTTGGTGGAACGTGGGTAAACGCAGGACACACTATAAGTAAAGTATGGGTTGATGATTCTGTAACTTCATCCAGGGCCTTTCTAGATGGACTGTCCTCCGGATTAAAAAATCCAGCAGGTAAATACGAGTAATAGACAACAATCGGATGTTTTTCAAACCTTGGGAACAAGGTTCTAAACATTAATTCCAGGGGGCAGATAAAACATATTACAAGTAACAAAACTTTTATAACTTTCGATAAAATGCGTGGATGTTTTATTGTCATTTTCATTTGTTAGAACTTTTTTAAGCCATGTTTTTATGTGTTTTCGATATTTCAATAATTTTTTAATATAATCTTAAAATATGTCGAATATTATAAACTTAAAAAAAGTGACTAAGTTTTATATTGTGTACCGTTCCTAATATTTCTAATCATTTTAATTCATACTTTAAGCTTTATAAAGTTATAATTTGTTAATATTAATATTTGCGCGTATTTCAGGTTCCTGATCATTCATTTTTTAAAGGTTTATAACTTTAAATTAAATTGTGAAGCGCTGAGTAATCATACGACGTTCAATATTCTTTCTTTCAATATGACTAAATAATCCCAATTATAGCAATCTGATACTCATGTCTCAATGTTTTTTCGCTGAATGTGATGAAAACATTTGAAAAAGGTTCGCTTATTGAAATAAATCTACACCAGTTAGTACTTCGATTTCCAGGTAAAGGGAAAAGGCTCATTATCTGCCATATTGGCAGTGAGGATGGATTTGTTGTAGACGGTCTGTGGTGCTTTGAGTCTAAGAAAACTGGAGATTACCACGAAGAAATGAATGGCGAATCGTTTGAACAGTGGTTTTCAAAAATTTTACCGAACTTGGAGGAAAACGCAGTAATTGTGTTGGATAATGCGCCTTATCATTCTCGAAGAATGGAGAAGGTCCCAACAACGGCTTCAAGGAAAGTTGATGTTCAAAATTGGCTCCGCTCGAAAAATATCAACTTTGAAGAAGCAATGCTGAAAGTACAATTATTAAGAATTGTCAAGGATCACAAGGCGGAATATCAAAAATACGCCATTGACGAAATGGCAGCAAGTCAAAATAAAACTGTGCTCCGTTTACCTCGATACCATTGCGAGCTCAATCCCATTGAGCTCATATGGGCAGAGGTTAAAAATTATATAGCTAAGCACAATACAACTTTTAAATTTTGTGACCTCAAAGGACTTTTCAAATAAGCACTAGAATTAATAACAGCGCAAAAATGGGAAAACTGTATTAAGCACGTGAAAGACAAAGTTGAAAAGAGAATGTGGGAACTGGACAATATTTTAGAGGAACAAGTCGAGCCATTCATTATTGACGTTGGTGCTTCAGGCAGTAGCGATGATGAAAGCTCATCAAGCTCATCTTTCCAATAAAAGATGTCGTTCATCAAATTCGGTAAGTTATAAGTGATTATAAAGCTACTGTATTTTTTAATTAATTATTGACATTTTTGAACACATTTTGGCAAAACCTATTCAAGAATCTACTTTCTGACAATGTTCAACCATGCACATTTTTTTACGTTTTGAACGTTTTAATTTGGTTACATATTTACCTAGAAATCAAAAAATATACTAATCAATATTCTAAAAGCAATTTTAAGAGATATACGATTATTTTTAATTTAGGCTAATTTAAACGCCATTTTGAGATTATATTCGACTGTATTTCACCAAACATCAGGCGGCATCCGAAGCTGGAAATCGAAGCGAAAATTTTGAAACCCTTATGTATATTTACATCATTATATACCCCACCCCCATATGATCCTATATCCATCACCAATCGTTTACCCATCGAATTGTGCTAATTTACTACAAAGTTACGCAAAGCAGCATCTACTATCTAAAATATGTACTGCGTGACTCTTAATACGTCCCTGCCGAATGTTACAGCGTTCGATGATCACGTGGTCTTGTTTATGTCCGGTCTATCTCTTATCTGAATATACTGTAGTTTTCCTTATTTCAGTATAATACGAACCTCCATGCAACCAAAACAGTTCAAGTCGAAGTTCTGACTTGCATGAGTTTTTTATTATTGGGTTAGACAAGACTTTAACCCTTTTAGAATATGCGGAAAAATATTTCATACCTGAACATTATTTTTTTCTCGTAATTTCGAACTCTTCCCAAGAGCATAGGAATGCTCCGAAACCCTACCTTTTGATTTCTATATTCTCAAATACGCTAATAGATGTCATTTTAAGGCATTTATGTTCAAGTAGATGCATTTCTAGTCATTAGTATGTTAGTGGGTCAACACGTAATTTCTCAATACATTTCAAACATTTTAATGCGTTCTCAAAAAGATTTTTCATAGCGGTACGCAGCGTAACTCGAACCACTCACATACATTCTTTTTATTCGAATTTTTAAAATACCTTTAAAATAAAATTTTGAATCGAAATACGTAGGGGTTTTCCGATAGATTAATCATTATTTATCAACAAATGATTATCTTAAATTGAACATTTTCAAATACCCGCCAACCAAACAAAATCAATAAACATGTATGTACAATAGGCGTTTTTTCTTTTTTTTTTGCTTCAAATTTTTAGCAGCTACACTGCTCCTCAAATTTTGTATATCCTCCCCGAAAATGGTTGCGGTGTCATTTTTGAATATGTTGTATTTTTTTTTGTTTAAATGTATAAAAGCTAATAGTAATTTTATCACCATTACTTCCACACAAAAATGATAAAATTTCTAAGGCCGTTACAGTGGTGTTATTCCTAAATGGAAACATTGATTAACATATTCTTAGGTAGGATACATTAGTCAATCATATAAGGCAAAGCAAACTGTATGTACCTGATTTAGGACCATATGCAAAAGGTTTTTCCGAAAATATCACATCTCCAGCTTTCAAATCTTGACTCGCTACGGCATAACGGCCAAGTTTATCGTTTTTCTCAACATCAAATAACTCCTGGAATACAAAATAAAAGACGTTCTCATCAATCCAAAAAAAAATCTGCCTAATCACTGAATTAATTACAATACATGAAAACGAAATAAAACGGTCATAAAAAACGTTTTTATCCAGATTGCTCTCGAGCAATATTGGAAGAAACAACCGAAACTTAAACGACTGAGAAAATAGAATCAATCTAAATTAGGGTTGAAAACCATTTCCGTTACCTTGTTTCCACCCATCTTGTATGGATATTTGTCAAGCACTTGTTAATTCCACTTCTTCTAAATACTGTACCTCACCAAAGTTCTATTTGCACCTTATTTCGACCTTTGCCAAGCAAATGTGTTTATATAAACGTCGACGAATATTCTAAGAAACTTCTGGTCGCTTCCACACAGTTCTGGCTATTTATACCATCAGTTTTAAAATAGCGGCGGCGTCTTAAAAACTCGCCTGATGCATCACTTGTAAATAATTACGATAGGGAAAAATAAGTAATAACGTTTTCAGATTTTGTTTACTTGGCATAAATATACAATAGTACCTAAAATAAAGTTCAATTCTATTTATCAACAGACCTCTGGTTGTATCTTGGCATCTAAGTATTTAATACCACAATTTCGGTAAAAAATAAATAAAAAGAAACAGTCGGGTATCTATTTTACTTGATTTTGGTAGGAAAGATGTAAAGGCAGAAATATAGCAACTCAATGGATCATTTTTGAGTGAAAATCTCAACTTATCGGGTGTTTAAAATTCAACCCTTACTATTGGGATCTCGGAGACTGTGAGAGATGTGGAAATCGCTTAAATGAGGGCAGCGTTGCGTACTTAGGTAATTAATAAAATGCCGCTTAGAAGGTTTTGAAATCCAAAGTACTTCCGGAGAGAGACGGAAAAAACCGAATTTTCACAAAATCGTTTTAATTTTTCCTTGACTTTATTTTTAGTGGGATTTCAAAATAAATTGTACATCAACATTGCCACTTTATTCCTCTACAAGATGGTATAATTGGAATTTCAATATGACGTTTGGTCTCTTGTCCTCTAACATCAACTTTATTATGGATGCCATATTGGATTTTTGTACAGATGAACAGTTTTTAATTCTGATTCCAAAATGTATAAAACGTCATACAAGGTCATTGCCAAGTCGTAGCTATTTCAAAAAAGCAGAATTTCTCAGGTAGGCCTTGAAATTATCAAATAGTCATTTTTTTGCATACCATATTTACAACAAAATAATTTTCATTTTTCCTGACTTTATTTGAGATGGCATTTCAAAATGAATTGCATTTTGTCATTGTCCTCTACAAGGTGGCGTAGTCAAATTTTCAATTCGAGATTTTTGCTTTGTTTTTCCATATGGACGCTATGTTGGAATTTTGTACATTTACATGGACTTTTGCGAAAAAATACAATATCCAGATCCAAGGGACGAAATGTCATATTAAAATTATAATTATGCCCAGTGGCGGGCCGCACCGGTTGACACCGTATTTGGAGTGACAGGTACCCGGTGACTCAACTTTAGGAACAATGTACAAACATAAAAAGAAATTAAGCACAGATGTTCTTCAGATATATGTTGAACAGATTGCATTGCAAAGGCTTAACTGTTGATGAAACTGCTACAAAATTAGAGGTACACTTGGTCTTTATATCGAAGAAAAACGGGATCACATTGTGGAGGAGGCAATAGATATTGCTACGAAAAAATTAGAAGACTACGATATTCCAACAGAAAGACGGCTTCGTCGTAAAAAATGAGTGGTTGGTGAGATGGCCAGTGATGCAGGACTCACACTGAAAGAAGAACTTCAAAAGGATATGTTGGAATGCCTTAACCATACCAGAGTTGAACTCCAGACAAGATCGAAGTCTCTTTAATACCTAGTTTCATTGTTTGAGATCGTAAAAATACTTTGCCTTTGGCGAATTCTGAAGAACTGAAATTAGCTACATCTAAATATATTGATTTTTAGAAACAGAATTACTTTTGGAGATACCAAGACTGGGAAGACACTTACAAGCCGCTAATGTTACAGTTTCTGATTGGATTATATCTAGATTTTTTAAAGTTTATTGTAGAATGGGATTTTACAGAATCTCTTCCAAATCCTATGATTGCACTTAAATTGTTCATGACGGTTTGTGTGCCAGAAGCGTCATGTGAAAGGAGTTTCAGTGACTAAAATTAATAAAAAATACGAGGCAATACAAAATATAAATGTTGATGAAGTTATTTCTGAGTCTGCAGCTGTTAAAATAAGAGATTTTAATTGTAAGTTAAAAATATGTTTTCTGTCTTAGTTTTCATTGTGTTTTGTTATTTGTTCAATATTTCACATATCACTATTAAATAATCCATGACGCTTATAAATCATATGAAATTTACTGCTTTTAACTTTCGATGGGGTGACACCACCCTTCCGCACCGCGGGTGCCACCTAAGGTAGCTATGCCACTGATTATGTCATCTTGTAGAGGAGAAAAAGTGTCAATGTTAATAGGCAATTTATTTTAAAATCTCACTACAAGTCAGGAAAAAATTAAAACGATTTTCAGAAAAATATTTTTTTTTCTGTCTCTCCGGAAGTAGTTTGAATTTCGAAACTTTCTAAGCGGCAGTTACTTACCTAAATAAGCAAATTTGCTCCCATTTAAGCGACTTCGTATCTATTAACGTTTCCGGATACCAATGGTGAGGGTCGAATTTGAAACAGTCGGTGTAAGTTGTTATTTGATACGAAAACATTTAAAACGGGAGTTTTAGACTAGTTGATTTCAGCTTTTCAAAGCAAAGTAAGATCAACTTCGATAAAAAGGAGATAATAAAAAAAAGGATAAAAGATGAAAATGATATAAGTATATGGCACATGTCGTGGTATGGATGATATTGCTCTTCGTTATTTTCGTACAACAATAATAGCAAAAATGCAATCACTCCTAATACACTCAAATAGAATAAATCACCCAACTTAGCGAAAAATAAAATATAATATCTGTATAACAGAGCAATTTTCTTAGATAGCTACAAATTAGGAATGTTCCATCATATTAATGTTTCTTCATATAAAGGTTAAGAAATATAGAAAGAATTTATATGTTTTTATAGAAAACGTTTACTGAGAAAATTGCTTCCTTTGTTTTAAGAAATATTAAATCCTACAGGCTAAATCACATTTAATTCTAATAGTTTAACACGTATATATTTTATAAACAAGTATATTGTGCTCCTACTAGAAAGAATTACACTATCTTTGGACATAATTTAAATTTATGTTAAAACGATATAAAAGTTTCGTATTTTTCTGGTTTTCCTCCTGAAATGTCAGATCACTTTATAATAAATTTTATCTTACTGTAAAAATATTGAATGTTATAATCTCTACAATCTATTTATCTATTTCACATTGAAACCCTTTTGTCGGATTATTTTAAAACACTACAGGAGGTTCCAGAAAATGTATCACAACCGATTCAACCTTAACGAAAACACTAGTATTGTCATATTCGTAACAAACTTATTAAGTACGAACTTCAAATTGGAAAATAAGCATATTTTTTAAGTGCACTGGAATAAATTTCATATAAACAAAGAACAATGTTTACATCAGTGCAGATATAACTAGGTAGTAGGTATATACAATAAACGATATTTGCCATGCAAATTAACGATTTTATGTTTATCTAGTTTGAAAGTGTACGTCAATTGAACATTTTATAAAACAGGATAGGAGCTTCAACTACAGATTCGATAAACACTTCAAACTAGCTATGTAATACACACCACACTTCCATCCGCAGTATGGATCACCATAAGCAGGGTGTCTAATGGGAAAGTTCACATTTCAAATTTCAATTACGCGGCAACCGTATACGCGAGGAAGTGGGGAGAGGTCTTGATCGACGCGTTCGGCGTGCGGGTTAAATAGTCAATGGAACTTTGGACCACAGCGCAACGTGCTTTTGCTATCCAGGCTTATTTTAAGAGTAGTGATTCATACGTAGCTGCCCTTCGGAAATTTTGTACACGTTACAAGATTCGCAGACCAAGAGATGCTCCAAGTAAAGACCTATTGAAAAAGTGGATCAAGAGGTTCCGTGAAACAGGCTCTACTCTTAGTCAACCCATTCTTGGCGCCACACCTACTGTATCAACCGAAGAAAATGTGCGTCGAGTAACTGACTCGGTCATTGCAAATCCTCGGCTTTCTGTACGGAAGCATTCCGTTGCTTTGGGAATCCCTAGGTCAACACTGCATGACATAATGAGGCAGAAAATGGGTTTTCATCCTTATAAAACCCAATCAGTCCATGCTTTGAAGGAAAGTGATTACGTATTATGGAAATCTTGTGCTGAACGGATGTTGAATCTTTTTCCTACGCAGCCCAGACTAGAGAACGTTGTTTTCAGTGACGAGACCCATTTTCACTTAGACGGTTATGTGAACAAGCAAAATTGCCGATATTGGGCACCAACGAATCCAAAAGAGAAACATCAACAACACCTACTTAATAGTCCAAAGCTGACTGTTTGTTGCGCCATATCCTCTAGCGGTATTATTGGGCCGTATTTGTTTGAAGATGAAAACGGTCATACACTGACAGTCAATTCCGAGCGATACAAGGACATGATTGACACTTTTTTGCTCCTATTGTAAGAACAGAACGTCGATTTAACAAAAACACATGGTTCCAACAAGTTGGGGCCACTGTCCATACTTCCAAAGAATCAATGGACACGGTGAAAGTACTTTTTCCTCAAAAGTTATATCAAAGTTTGGAGACATTGACTTTGCCTCCTAGGTCACCCGACCTCACGCCATGCGATTATTTTTTGTGGGGTTATCCAAAGTCAAAAGTGTATTCCAATAATCCACGAACACAGGAGGAGCTTACAGATAACATTCGACAAGAAATAAACAACGTCACTCCGGGACTCTGCAAGAGAGGGTTTCAGAATTTGCGCGCGCGATTAGAAGAGTGTGTCCGAAACATTTGGACGGAATTATATTTAAGAATTAAAACCCGTCGAATTTACGAATATGTTGATAGTAATGAATAATTTCTTTTCATTAAGTTTGTATTTTTTTCTTAAATCAAAAAGTGAACTTTCTCACTGGACACTGTATAAACGTTCAATTATATAAAAATACTATTCAATCCAAATGAAACATACAACACATCATAGAGGCATTGAAATTCGAGCTTGATATAACTATGTCAGATCAAC